ATTCTCCGTGCCCCAAACATGACCCTTGGGTCCCACCACGCCCTCGTCCTCGTTAGGCGCCATACGACACGTACCCATCTGGTGCGCAGACGAAAAGATGGCCACGGGCGGCGCGTTGCCCACCCTACGCAACTTATCAAGCCACGCGACGAACTTGGGATCGTTGACGCCGTCGAGGATCGCCTCGTCGCCGCTGTCCGAAGCCGAAGACGACGCAGCTGCCGTCTCCTTCTCCTTTGAGGGAGGCTCGGCGTGGTCCTCCTTGACAAAGGGTTCGAGACCGGGCAGACCGGCGTGGATCTCCGTCGCGCCCTCAACGTAGCAGATTTTGCAGAGGGCGACGACGCCCTCGAGGGTGTTCGCGCGGTCAAAGTCGGAGACGACGTAGTCGATGCGGGGGCGGCCGGAGACGGGGTCCGGGTACACGCGGCCGGGGTCGCGGTCGCGGGTGAGGGAGATGAAGGCACCAAAGTGGCGGAAGCGGAGCTCGCTGAGCTTGGCCTGGAGGCCAGAGTGCCAGGGCATGCTGGACAGGATTGCGTAAGGCTGTGAATGTGTTAGTGAATAAAGAATAAATTGGCTTGCAAAATTTAGATTTGGGACGTACGATCATGCAAGTAGGCTCCAGCTTCACACCGTGACCGGCCTTGTCGAGGTCCTCGAATGAGGAGCAGTAACTCGTGATGATACCGCCTGTGTTCACTTCACGTCAGCAACCAGAACATATGGATTTGCGATGTATTTTGAGTGACTCACCCTCCCATGGCTTGCAGTCCTCCTTCCAGTAGCCTCCTACAAAATTGCAGGGATGGACATAGAGATTACGACCGAGGTGTCGGTTCTAAACGTATCCAACGTTAGCAGCGTAATCGTGTGAGAGCGCAGTAGAGGGACGACATCATCTACTTACCGTCAAACCGCTTCTCAACAGCACCAAGGGGCTCGAAACTGATCCAGCCGATATGATAACCTTCTTGGCCTTGATAACAACCTGTCGTGTGGTCCGCTGCTCCAAAGCCGCGCTGGTGCTGCCGTTGGCTCCCCTCGAAACCCACTTTCCAACTACGCCCGTCGCTCGCTTGGACCCGCTGGTCTCGTCAAAGGTGACCTTCTCAACCTCGAAGCCCTCGATAAACTTGGCTCCAGATCCCGCCGCTGCCGGCAGCCAGCTCACGGTTGGCCCCTGCTTTTCAGTCGACCCACAGCCGAGGTGGCACTGCCCGCAGTAGTGCTCCATCCCGCCGGTGTTCTGCGGGGCCGTGGCGGCGTGCCATCCGAGCTTCCGGGACCCGTCCAGCAGCACCTGGTTGCGGTGGTTGTGGCGGACCTTGTCGGTACTGACGCCCATGAAATCGCAGACTTTGTCAAGGCAGTTTTGGAACTGGGGCGAGGTGAAGAATGGCAGGCCGCGCTGCTCAGACCACTCCTTGCGGACGAACCCTTGGGTCTGGAGACTGACGCTCCAGTTGACGGTACCACCGCCGCCCCAGCAGCTGCCGGCGACCATGTTGAGCGAGTTGTCATCGCTGGTGATGAAGCCTCCGTTCTCGTACAGGAACGAGCAGCCGGAATCCTGGGACATGGGCAGCTGGCTCGGGGTGTAGTAGTACGACTTGTCGACAACGAGGACCTTGTGACCGGCCTCGGCCAGGACCTTGGCAGCGACTGCTCCTCCGCAGCCCGATCCAACGATGACGACGTCGGTTTCCACGACGGCTGGCTCGCCAGCCGACTCGAATTGCATGAAGTTGAAGTCGAAGCCCTCGCCGTGCGTCTGGAAGTCCGGCATGTCGGTATAATCCGTCAACTCTATGAATAAAGGATTGGTCTGCACGGCGGCCTTTTGCGCCAGGAGACATATTGACTTTGATAGAACCCTGATTGTGGGGAGCCTGGACGTCTGCCAAGCCTTCAAAATTTGCTCACGAACTTCTATGGGCTGAAGGTGAACTGGGGTCCAGTATCCAGTGAGAAACAACGTGCCGGCGCGCGTGCTGTCAGTTTGGTCAGTTTTGGTTCACGGTGAAGATCAAAAGTGAAGCGTCGTGGTGGCGTTCATGGCCCATCACTTACCCAAGAGCGCCCATTGCGCCACCGAGTTGACGTTGCGCGCCGGAAGGCAGGGCCGCCAGTGTCCTGGTGATACTCTCGATGAATTTGGGTTCCTTTGCGGGATTGTGCGCCATGTACTCCTGGAACTTTTCCTCGGAAGGCGGTTTCTTCATTGTGTTCTGGGCGAGTTGGAGCGCAGCCGCATATTCTGCATCGGACACTCGGATCTGGCTTGCCGTGTCTGTGAGAGTCGCCGGTCGTGAGATGGGCGGGAGGACCGCCTCGAGCAAGGACATCAGAACGGTCCATTGAGTCTCGTTCCAAAAGTCGGTGGTCGGCAGCGCCGGAAGCTGGAGCTCGACGGCGGTGCCAGGAATGGTCTTTGGCAGAGTAGCCATGATGAAGTGGATTGGAGCGTGATGGTAAGTAAACACAGAAAGATGAGAATAGTAATCAAAGTGAACAGTTCGGTGGTACAACGCGATACAACGTAGAAATGGCTATAAGAAGGGGTAGAAGAACAATGACAATAACAAAGTTACGCAAAGTCGGATGAGGGGCAGCTTTGGAGTTAGCTATAGTCCCAATTGACACATGAGCGATGAAAAGGCACCTCGGAAGCTCATGCTCAACTGATGTCAGGATGTGTGGGTGGGAAGGCAACGGGAAAACGAGTCGTCGTTGGCAGCCCCCTGCTGCTCGCATGGTGGTGCTGCAGGGGTTCGTGTTTGCCATGGATGCGGGGTCTGTGCGACGAAGCATCTCAATGGATCTCTCCATAACCATCTCCTCTCTCTGACTCTCTCTCTCTTTCGCTGTGGCTGTCTCCTCAGGCGGATGGGACCCTATTCCCGATCCGGTATGCTATTGGGGTGGTCGAACATTCAGTCAACCGCCAGCTTTGCGGCTAAAGATTGGCCGTCATGTTTAGTTCTGAACCGTCTCTTTGTTTGTGGTTGCAGAATCCCTCAAAGAGGAGTCTCGGACCTATGATTCCCCCCACCGGACCTGGCCAGCAGAGCTGTCAACACCTCTAGATGTGCAGCTTACTCTCTGCATTGGCGGGGTATGGCGCTACTGAGCGGCACTTGGGCGCATGTAACCCTCTCAACCCGGGGGCGAGTGGCGTAGTGCGGGAACGGGGAATCAAGAGAAGCTGCTTGATGCGGGGAACGGGGACTTTGGCTCGATCGTAACGGGCCCTCGTCGGAACCCGATAGTTTCTTCATCAGTCATCATCAAACCAAAGGTCCTTTCGACGCCATATTCACGGCATCCCACTGCATGAAGCAGCACTATAATGGGAGCAAAGAGACGCACCACGCGATGTCAATTGTCGAAGGATGAGAGACGCGGTTGCTGCACGTGTTGCCTCATGTTCAGACTTCCCAAGCGTCTGAGTCTTGAAACGACACAGCCGCGAGCTTATGTTTGTCGATATTTCAGCCACCATGGCCCCAGATGATGGTCAGATCGTCGGACCCGCCCGTTCACCTTGAAAGTGCACAGCGATATCAACAGGAATGATGCTGGGTTGACTGCTGCAGATCGTACGTTACCGTGGCTTGGGGTGAGATTCTTAGATTGTGGGGCAGATCGATGATGCGTCTCAGCGATTCGGCCGGGAAGCATTGAGCCTCGGCTCGCATGGACTGATTGAAACGGGCAAGAAAACACATATGTTTCTCAGCTGGCCTTGTTGTGAAGTTGTTTATTGGGATGCGATCGAAATCGGATGATTCGTTGGCATGGCCACGAGCTTCAGTCGGAGAATCACAAGTAGCAGTGCCAGAATCGAATGTCTGCAAAAGCTGTATGCCTCGTGGGCGCCAGACTGGTCGTCACGGGTCCAGTATTCGGTGGCCCGCCGCCTCTTCCGTCTCAAGCACAGCCGCTCCAATCCATGGCTGGCAACTTGCAGACACCCGGCACCGTGTGCTGCGCCGACGCATAAGCCAAGGAACCAGTGCCCGGTCCGGCGCTAGAGAGAAACGGCGCAGCCCGGCCCCAGGACACCCGGATCCGACTGCCGGTGGCGCATCGGGTCTACCGCGTGGCACCGCCGACTTCTCCGGGGGTCTGCGTGCCCGGGCGAGCGGACTTGTAAGCGGCGAATCGACCTGACACTGACAGCAGGCGGACGTGGCCCGGTGGGTACGGTGGCCAAAAATGCAAGATTGGCTCCCCCTCAGACCTGCAGCTACAGGTCGCGGCTAAACCAGACGTGGGCACTTTTCAGGGTCCAGCGGCGGGTCTTTCCATCCGTGCAAGGGGGGCTGGGTGTCATCTGGCGATGGGCGGTCTGGCGGCCAAGAGGGTTCAAAGGGGAAGCTGGGGCCGGGGTTTGCCTTTGAAGCCGAATTTGTTGGGGAAAGGAGACGAGAACGACTTGAAAAATGCATGTGAGAGTCGATCTGTGAAGAATTGTTGACTGACGGCGAACAAGGCGCGTAAGCCAGCAAGCTCTTCCTGGTCGGCTGATTTCCGTGTTGTAACTGTGGTAGGCCACCGTGAGTACGAAGATGTACTACTGGAGACAGCTTTGCTGTAAACGACTGTACTGTAAAGAGGCACGAGAGGTGCGCAAAAGACTGTCGTGTGAGTGTTACCACCAGCGCATTATGTTATATCTGTGCAGGTTGAGACTCCAAGCTGAGGCTTCAAGATGTACTTCGGATCCGTACCAGCAAGCCTTGTTGTCATCAAGCAATACACTCTTGTCCATTCCGGCCGAGTAGGCTGTCTGCTCCGAGCTCGTGTGACAATCTCATCATCGACAAATGACGGAATCATGGTCGCGTTCCGCTTTGAGAAGCACGGGGGACCGTGAAGATCAAGGCCCTTGTCGCTCACATGTCAAATGATGGTCATCCAGCGACTTCGTGATGATTAGATAACGGGAGAAAGAGGGTCCTTACCAGCAAGACCGTCCGTAGTAGTGGAAATCATCAAAGAAAGGGAAGAAAAAAAAACTTCGATACGATGAAGAGAAGATTGACAGAATTGGGCTTAGCGTTCCCCCAACAAAAAGGACGAAGGTCGGGTAGCCATGCTCCACGGCGGATGGACACTTGATGATTCGTGACGTGGACTACTTCATGCGCGTTAGTGTACTATGCAAAAAGCTCACGTTGACGTTATCAGACAAAGTGTCAACGATGAAGAGTACCTGTCGCATCCCCCACTAACCACCCACAACGGACCAGGGGCAACTTGCAAGGAGGGTCAGCCTGGGCTTCCAGAAGGACGACGATGGCCACGGCCCCCTGACAACCCGGCTGCAAGCCTCCAGGATGAGAATTGCGTTGCGCAGACTTGACTACTAGACTCGCGATTATCAAGTCCAACACCCGTCGGGAGTTCGGAGCCCCCGATGGGAGTTCGTCAGAGTCGGTTGTGTTTGCGGGCCTTGCCCAACATTGATCTCTTGGTGATCTCTCGTGTAGCCATCGCATAACGTCCAACGTAGCGTGACCTGAGGGCACTGACTGAGCGCAAGACAGCGAGTGGCACTGCGAGCTCTGATAATGCCAACAGAGGTGTCGAGATTGGGCCGGCGAGAGGAAGCCGTGGCCATGTCCCGGAAATAGAGTTGGAGCTGGTGTCCAAAGCTCCCAATGCGCCATTGCCGTTGTCGGAAAGACAAATGTCTGGGACTCTGGGCTGGGCAATGGGTTCCGGCAACGTGCCCAAGCAAGATCCATGTCGCAGCTTTTCAACCGTTTCAAAGCGCCTGACGAACTGCGCGAATCGGTGGGTGAAAGGCTGCGAAGTATCGTACAGACCAGACGTACTGATACGGGGCGCCGCGGCGCAAAGGCTTTTTTGCTTCGTCCAACGTGCGATGCTTGATTGGTTGAACCCTTCTGGGACATTTGCTCCGGGCGTGAAAACCCGTTCGCAGACGCATTTCGGCGTTGCCATATCGCCGTCTAGTCAGTCGCAAATTGGCAAGAACGATTGTCGACTCGTCGTCTTCTTCAAGGCTCAAGCTGTTGGTCCCCCCCCCCCCCCCGCCCTTGTTCTTAGCAGCTTGTATCTTTGGCGTTGCTCGGGCCCATCCTACAAATGCCCCCATGCCTCGGGCGCCAGGATGGGCTTTAAGGACGGAACAAGGATGATGTCGAAAGAAGCCGAGGCAAAAAAGTGAGGGTTTTGGTCATTCTGGACCAAGTTGAGCTTGGATGAGAAGATGGAACCGAACCGAACCCACCCCCGTCCATCCATCCATCCAGTAGTGCCAATGTGGTCGAGGCCGTTTGCCTTAACGTAAACCGGTGATGGTTTTGCGGTGCCTTTCGTCCGTTGTCGAGCTTGAAGGTGTTATTCATGTGTCTCTCAACAATGTTCAATGTTGGTGTACCCAGCAAGTATCCACAACACTAGGAGTGGAGGTACAGACGGGATACTCACGTACGAATGGATACCTACTCTGTAGGCCCCGGTTTTTTGTCTCCAGACAGCTGGTCACTGGTGAGGAAGAACGGAAAGAAGATGTGCCTCTTGTAGCTTGGCAGGACCTGCTGTGTCGAATCGAAGGCTGCGGATGTCAGTGGTGGATTCCACATTGAGTAGTACCTCCCGCGGCCACCCGACAAGCCGGGCAAGCGCGCACGAGAGACTTGCGACTTCAGGAAGGCGGCGAGGGCCAGGTGCGCTTGCATTTTCCCGGCATTTTTGGGTTTTGCTCCGTCCGTTGTTGTCAGGTACTTCGGTGAGGTACCTAAAGTCTCCCAAGGTCAGGTACCTTACGTGATGTATTCCCACGCAGGAGGGAGGAGGAACGAAGGAAGGCACGTTGGATCTCGAGCTTCCAAATTCACCGATACCTGGACCTTCCCAAGACTTTACCTTAATTCTTCTTGACCTTAGTCCTTCTTGTATGTTGCTTGCAAGAGAAGTCGTGAGAGTAAGTGCATGGTTAAGTGTGTGAGGTACATGAGCAGTACGTGCTTCAACGTCGCATAGCATTGAGAAACTAGTGTGAGCAGGACGAGACATGACAAGGCAAGCCGCAAGACAATACACCACGACATCAGATACCTCATCTTCCACCGAACTCACCAGACTCTACCTTAGCTATGGTCTGGAGCAGAGACAACCGGCCACCTTACCGTTGCCGTTGGCCGTGCCGCACCTGACACCTCCCGTTGTGCTTTTCAACCACATCTTAAAGCAGAAACTTGACGTGCGTGCGCTTTTTGTATGGTCTTGACTTGCATCACCTCGTCTCGCCTCGCATCTGATCCGTTCTCTTGCCGTTGCGCCTTGGCCTCAGCAGCATTGCTCATGACTAAAGCCCGAGCAAAAGAGACAAACTTCTTCCCGCTTTCTCCCTGACTGCTGAGTGACTCCTGATCAAGACACACTCCCCGCCAGATCTATCATTTCACCCGAAGCTACGTATCCGTCCATACAAATATATACTTGGTACTTGGTGTACCAGGGTGGAGGGGTGTTGACGAAGGGGAAGGCAAGGCACGGTATCCGTAAGGTAAGGCAAGGGGAAAAGGTGGGAGGGGAGGAGCCGCTGGTCTTAGTCCCAGCACATTATCCACTCCTCTCTCTCTGGGTGACGGGTCACACACTCTCTCATCCAGAATTTCAACCTTCCCCTTCCCCATATTAAGACCTCGAGGATCCCTTCGCATTGACCTTGTCGTCTCTGCTGTTCTTTCTTCTTTCTCTATTCTCCTCTCCTCTCCCAAGCTCACCCGGCACACTCTCGTCTCCTTCGACAAACCCTCGTCGGACTGGAACGTTGTCTTGGCCTCTGTCTCAAGCCTTCTCTTTCGCCAGATCTCTCTGTGCCACTCCCTTCAGAGAAATAGAGCTTCCTTCTCTCTCTTCCTCGTCCTCTCTTCTCTCTCCCACGTTCGTCCACCACCTCTTCTGGACCGGACCGCATACCAGTCGCTCGACGATCGAACCGACTACCGTCTCTTCCACCATCGACCCAATACCTGCGTGTGTGTGTGTGTTAGCACTACAGCTGTCAGTCTTCGTGCCGAGACATTACTGTCAAGAACGACTTTCGAACGTGCGTGCATTGTGTGTCTAGCTTGCTTTTAGCTCGTCACTCCAATTGCCGCGACTCAGCAAATTCCCCAACGCCCGAGCAATTAGCATTGGCGGGACCGCAACTTTTTCCAAAAAACCAAGCCCCGACTCAATTGGTCAATTAAGCTCCCCCACCATGGCCGGCGTCACCGTGCTCGGCGAGCTCCCGTCCGCCTCCCTCTTCACCTTCCCGCCCGATGGCGCGCATATGGCCATTCCCCCACCTTTCCCCGGGTCCATCGCCGCAGCCCCTCCGGTCCAAATTCCCGACAATATCTTCACCGCCGCTCTTGACCCCAGAGTGCCCATCACCATTGCCACTCTCTACGCCGTCACCGTCAAGCTCCTGAACAAGTACAACAACTCGACCAACCGTAAGCCTTGGGGAATCAGCAAGACCAAGCCCTTCTTCGCCTTTGTCGTCTTGCACAATGTCTTCCTCGCCGTCTACTCGGCTTGGACCTTCTGGGGCATGCTCGGCGGCATGCGTAGGAGCGTTGTGAGCCCTTTTGGCCCCAATGGTCTGGCTGCCACTGCCGACAGCTTCTGCCAGCTCAACGGCAACGGAGGCTTCGGTGCCGCCACCGTCTACAACGAGACTGTCGGTTACTGGTCCAGCTTGACCGGCAACAACGCTCTTGGCTTTGATGGACGCCCCAGCCGCGAGGCCACTGGCAGAATCTGGAACGAGGGACTCGCCTTCTACGGCTGGATCTTCTACCTGAGCAAGTTCTACGAGGTCCTTGACACCTTCATCATCCTCGCCAAGGGCAAGCTCAGCTCCACCCTCCAGACCTACCACCACGCCGGTGCCATGATGTGCATGTGGGCTGGTATGCGCTACATGTCCGCCCCTATCTGGATGTTTGTCCTAGTCAACTCCTTCATCCATGCCATGATGGTAAGTTTTGCGCCTATTTTGCTCAACTGAAGTGTTGCTAACAGTCGTCTAGTACACCTACTACACCATCACCGCTTTCAACATCCGCGTCCCCATGGCCATCAAGCGAACCCTCACCACTCTCCAGATCACCCAGTTCCTTGTCGGAGCTACCTACGCCATGGCCCACTCCTTCGTTTCGTACACCGTCCCCGTGACTGTCTACACTGCCAAGAAGGGTGCCGATGCTATCACCCAGTCTTCCACCAGCACCGCCGCCGAGACCGTTGCTACTGCCGCAACTGGCGCCTTTGAGGCTCTTAAAGACATGGTCTTCGGCGCCTCTGCTAAGGTCGCTGAGGAGGCTGCCGCTGTCTCCGTCGCCGCCGCCGCTGCTGCCCCCCCTCAGCCCGGTTTTGTTGCTGAGACCATCTTTGTCACCCAGCCCTGCGTTACCACTAGCGGCGAGACCTTTGCCATCTGGCTCAACGTCCTCTACCTAGCACCGCTCACCTACCTGTTCGTCATGTTCTTCATCCGCAGCTACATCCGCCGCAGCACCGCCGCACCCAAGGGTAAGGGCAAGGCCCGCCGTGAGAGCAATGTTACTCTTGCGGAGAAGGCTGGCTGGGACGCCGCCCGCGAGGTCAACCGCGAAATCTACAACGGCTCTGCTTCGTACAACGTCGAGGGCAGCCCCAAGCGCGCTGGTAACGGCAAGGCCAAGCACTAGCGAAAGTTGTCACGCATGGATCGGTCCTGAATTTAGGACGTAATTGGAAAAGGGGAAAGGGGGAAACACGGCTGGAAGAGAAGCCTGAAAGAGGTCTTCTCGTGGAGGCGGCATTGGGTTTGATTCAACGGCGTTTTGAGCTGGGAAAACATGATTGGGGTAAAGCATTCGCATCACCCGGAGCGCTCGTTATCTAGTCGTGACCGTCTAGTGTCTTGCATTTTGCGCGTAGGGTAAATAGGGCGAGCCGGGTGTCATCCATCCGGTGCAAGTATGTATAGTCATCATCAATATGAAATCTTACATGTTAAATATTTTCGTGCATATTGGTTTTTGTTGAAGAGGTGTCAGGTCGAACTTACGGCCCAGGAAATGTATTTATCAGGATTTCCATCATTCACATCCGGGGTGTAGAAGCATAATTGTACAACATTCCCGGAACGGGGAAAAGGGGGAAAGCCACCTCGTGTGACGACGCGGTGGCGGCGAAATTATGGGATACAGACCCGAGCTCTCGGGCCCGATCAGCCGGACCATCTTCTCCGCATTTTCGTCGTCTTCCGGATGCGGTGGGGGCCAAGACCGGAGCTCACTCCGATGTGGTCGGAAGGAGGGGAGAGGAAGGGGGGTGGTGGAGTACCCAAATTAGTATGCCGTGTTCAGTCTCTCCTCTCTCTTTTTTGTTCACCCGCATATCCACCTTGTCGATCTCTTGGCTGTTTGTCTCTGGGTTCTCTGGGGCAAGTTGTCTCTGGATGTGTGAGTCAGTCGTAGTGGTTTCGAGTGAAACCGTACGACCACGTCGCGCTGCATGAGAGCTGCTTCAAATGAGTCGCCAAGTTGAAATGTTTGATGAGTTCTCTACGGTACTGATGAATGCGTGTAAATCGAAACGATTGCTGAAGATTGTCAACTAGACCAATGCCACGCGTATTTCTGGTATCCGGGGCGTGTGGGCAAGGTAGTCGTCGTCGGTCTTCCAGAAACGGGTTCGGCCACGATACGAGAGAGTCGAATTCGCCACAGAGCCCTGAAGCGAGTTTCTCTCTGTCTCTGAATAATAGATTGCATTATTAAATTACCGCGAAGCCTCGTTCTCTACACACCATGTAGTTCTTGTTTGCCCTTTTGCGCCCTGACTCAATTCCAAGCGCAGTGCATAAGTAAATGAATATGCTATCTAGTCAACCTCAAGTTATGATCCGGATTCTGGAAACAGATGGGGAAAAAAGGCTTTACAATACGATGAGGCGCAAAAAGCTCGAAACGTACTCATCTTGTGTGGCAAGATGTATCGAACGCCCTGCTTGTCTACGGAGAGCTTGTTCATAGGGTACGACGTTTCGTTCTTCGACTCGCGCATAACGCCCGTCCGGAATAGGCACTGCCTTGTATGAATTGGGAAGATAAACTAGGGCAAGAAGGAACCAAGCAAGTCTATCTTGGGGAACCCATGGAATTGTGGATTCGCGGGGGTGGGGATTTCCATTAGCCCTTTGCTGATCGTTCTCGATGTCCGCTGCTTTCGTCCAACCTTGTGCGACTTTACCTCCGTCATGTATTGTATCCCAATCAAGGTCGTGCTGATTTGGAAATAGGTAGTAGTGTTTCTCAACTCATATTCGCGTCCTGCATACATGGGAACACACCTGACTACTTGGAACGATACCTAGCTTTCACTTACTTCGTCATGTTCGCCTGCAACGAGCAGACTCGAAGACAGTAGCTCTGGAAGAAGTGAAGTGGCCACGGCATGGGATGCTCTCAAGGTACCAGCAAACCAAAATCCCATACCTAACTCGAACAATTTCCTTGCCGCCACAAGCCAGGCCAACAACGGCCCTGCAGAGTCATCTACCTAGCAGTGCTGGAGAAAAGGGCGGCGAGATCCAGGTAGACGAATCACAACGACGCTTACGGCGATGAATCATACAAAGCACACACTCAAATCACCCTAGGTACACGTACTACACATGCATACACCCCCCTTCCTCTCGTCGTTAATCCAAGCTCCTAGGCACCCAGGAGCTAGCCTCTCGCCTAGTTTCTTCTTTCCCCAAGCTCCCTCTCAAGCTAAGTCGAACCGCAGCAGGCGCGGAGGCTACCTTACTAAAGGTGTGTGTTTGGCCTCACCTCCTCTTCTTCTTGCTCACCGTGACCGCCTCTCCTAGCTGGATATCTGGGCCTCGCATCTTGCATTTCCTCACATGCTACTGAAGCTCCCAGGTCGGGCTTAGCCTATCCGGGAACACTCTCTCCACCCAACTCGCAGATACCAATGAATCTCGCGAGGAAGAAGACATCAAAATATCAGCAGCACAGCCACACGTAGGCAATTTGAAACAAATTAATTGAATGGGATTAGGAAAATGCGATCAGTCCTACAGACAGCAAGAAAAGAGACAACAAGATCACCAGAGGAAACGACCCGTCGAGGTCCGACGTTCGACTCAATGCAGAACGCTAGGCTACCTTCGGCTCAAGAATGATGACCACCCACCACCACCAACGACCGACGACCTGCCTTACACCGCACACGACCTATGCTGACCGATTTTACTCCGCACAGGTCAACGACATCTGACCGTTGGGCGGTGAGTCAAGTATCGAAAGAGGTGTTACGAATGTTCCCGGCTCACAAATAGAGAGACATCATGAATGTTTACTAATTGCAGGCAGCAGCTGCCATAACCGTAGGAAAGGGGTGTATAGAGCGTGACTAAGGAATCCCGTTGTCATGGCCTAAACCGACAGAAAGACAATTCATTAGGCCTCTCGGTCAGCATCGTGTGAAGTTGAGACCAGGGAAGACTTTACTCATGTGATAACACCTAGAAACCTATGGGAGAGTCCTTCTAATTAGTAGACACGGGAACCGTAGAGCTCGCAGGACCTTGATAACACCACTTTTCAACGCTCGTGTCCCATTCAGCAGAGAATATTCAAAAGACCACTCCCACTCCCAATGACAAACACCTCCTGATTCTCATCCACGTAGGCCATCATATGAGAGAATAGTACTGAGACCAAAACGGTTGAAGGCCTGGTGATTGGTAGTCATTCGACCACCAGTTCAACCAGCCTCTGGGCTTCCAGGAGTAAGCGCACCGGGGTCCACGGTGCTCTCATATCCTGGTAGCTCACTCACCCTTGTTTTTACAGTAGCAATGTTGCCGCACGTCTTCATCATCTGTATCAGCACGTGAGATACCATAGAGCTCCGGCCGCCAAGGTCAAGACAAAACAGACTCAACAGTCACTCCCTCGAACATGTATCACATACATGACTTAAATCACAAGTCACCGATGAGCCAACGTTTAGAGTCAATGGGAGAGTTTGTTTGCAATTGTTTGTATTGTTTCTTCCGAGACCCCGGAAGAGTGAGAGAGGTAAAAGCGGCTGGACTCGGCCGCCAGCGCGAACAAGGTTGGCTGCGCGTCCGCTCCGTCCAGGTTGTTTCCCACCATCCCCCCTCTCTGGATCTCCGAACCATCAACCAATACGGTGACGGCAACTCTAAATACACGCAACGCCGATCCATGAAGGCGTTCGGCCGACTTGCTCCGCCCTCTCGTCTCTTTTCCCCCAATCTCAGGTGTAGGATAGTCATACCCCCGGATGGAGATCCGAGTACGCGGTGCGAAAAGCATGTGGCCGTCACATCAGGGTATAAGCCTTCAGAGGGGTATGCCGCTAAAACTCCGTAGAAACTGGAGTGTTGAAAATTAAGAGCCCGGTTGTATCGCTTTCCCGTAAAAACAACCCTTTTCCATATGCGATTGATATGAGGGGAGTTTGGCAAAGCCAAATCCGAGTCTTTGAGTGTCCGTCCAACGCCACGCTGTAAATGCAAAACAGAGTCCAAGCCAATCCGGCAGGGCTCGAAAACCGATGAGGCGTTCTATTGCGGATGAAAGTGATAATGGGTGACGCATGGTGCAGTCCATTAATGGGTATTGGTGTGAGTCGAAGGGGTGTGTTGGTGACTCTCCATGTCTGGTGTCGTCGGGGCGGCTAGTGAGAATCGCCACCGTCGTGTGAGTAAGTCTATGATTCTATTGTTTCGCTCTTCATTAAGGCCGTGAGTCGTAATCCACTGGGTGCGAGAACACCCTTGTGCTTTCTTTGTCGTCTCCAATGTACAGTGTACATTTAGAATGTGCTCCAGTTCCAGTCGCGAGGAACACTAGCAGCTACCTCGGGGCCCTTGGTAGGGGGAAGCATGCCAGGCATCATCGGGGCAACGGGGCTCGCGACGATAGGGCTCGACGGGGTGCCAGAGGAGTCGGAGCTCTGATCGCTACCGCTGCGGCTGCCGTTACGGCTCTTCCATACCTTAAATTCGGTGAAGCAGTGAAAGCAGGCGCGAGCGAGGACTCCTCTGGGGTTGTAGTTGCAGTCCTCGTCCAGAGGGATGGCTTCGCCAGAGTGGGTGCCGCAAAAGATGTTGCCACAGCGGCGGCAGTGATGGCGACGGTTCAGGGCGTTGAACTTGCGCTTGCAAGTTGGGTCGTCGCACATGATGGACTCGGAGTCGGGCTGTTGGAATTTTGTTAGTTATATACTTCAAGGCAAATGGGCGAGATTGTTGTGATAGATCCAACATACCTTCCAGTGCTTGCGAGTGGGTTCGCCAGCGACGTCAGGGAAGAGCTCAGGGTCCAGCTCGAGGTCAATAACCTTGCCACTGTCACCGGTAGAGCGGCGCGACAGCTTGGCTCCGAGAACGCTGAAGCCAGGGAGGCTGATGAAGCTGCTGTTGGCGCGGCGCAAGCAGAGCAAATCCTCGCCGTCGAGGTCCTCAACCTTGGGAGCGCGCGGCTTCTTGGAGTGGTGCTGATTTGGGCGGAGGACGGCGGGCACGTAAACGGGGCGAACCGACTCGGTGAGGCACGACTTGGGCGAGGTGGGAGAGCCTTCGTGAGGAGTGCTCAAGGGTGACGTGCGGTTGCGAAAGGGCTGCGGTTGCGGTACTGTTTGGAAGGAGTGGGATCGAGTGTGTGTGAAGTGAGGGCGATCCTGAGGGTAGAAGGAGGGGCCGCGCTGCTCGGCGAGGGTAGGCATTATGAGGTCGGTTGCCATTGTGTCGAAGTCGAGGTGAGGTTGGTTTACAGGAATTGTTGGTGTAAGTGAAGCTCGACGGTGAAGGATGCAGGGCGTCCTAGATGTTCAAGGCGCTCGATTGCTGGAAGTCGAAAGGGCGCGTGGTTGATTTCTCGTGAGAATCGATGATGAAAAGCAACGAATAGTTGTTGCGGCGAAGTGGTTGGTGATTAGAAAAAAGGAGCGGGACGAGGTTGTTGGCGTCGCGTTTGTTCGGGAAAGCTTGGTATTAAACCTGGTGTGAACCGCAGATCGAAGCGGTGCCCAAGAGGATAGTAGAGGTATGGGTATAGTTGTGGTTGTGTTGGACGGTGGTTTTCGGTGTAGAGATAAGGATGCGCTGTGCCACCAAACGAGGTCGTACTTTTTGGGTTTGCTTGTGAATGTGAGGTGTAAGTGAGGTGAAGATGACCTGATCGGGAGTGGTGAGTGAGTAGGCAATCGCAGCAAGATAAAGATGCGTGCGTTGCGATGGAGGGGAGCGGATTGGTGAAGTAGTTTGGGCGGGATGCTTGGGGTCTAAATGGATGGGACGAGACTCGGGGGTGCGGAATGAGGGGGGGCGTGAGGATGAGAGGCCCAGTAGCCTTGAGGGCGATTCATTCGGATGGAGGGGGGTGCGCTGTAGGAGAGTACGTACACTATCTTGTGGGCGGTGGGTGGAAAAGGGAAGGGGGGGGGATGCGGGAGCGGGTTCCCTATTAGATTTATTCCTGCGGCAATTGGCGGAGGGAGTTGCCCGCCCTCTTCCTCTCCTCCAGTGCCAGACCATACGCAGTTAGTAGACGACGGTACAGACAGGAAAGAGAGTGAGGAATGAGAAGGGGGGCGTGTCTCTCATCCACTCTCTCACTCTCTGCTTTCTCTCTCTCTCATTCTCGTCGTCTCTCTCGCTCTCTATCCGTACCTATCTGCTCTAAGAGACGTATGGTGGGCGCGAGACTTGAAAGCAGTAGTAAACAAGACACACACCCTCTGCCTCTCTCTCTCTCTGTACCTTCTCTCGGCATGGCTTTCCTTTCCTCTGTGCATACCGCCGGTACCGTACTCTCTCCTTCAAAGGTGGCCCATCGTCACTTTCTTCTGCCCACAACGCTTTGCCTCGCCGTTTCTCTGGTTTCGCTACCAACTTACATCCACACGTTGCTGAGTTTAAAGTTTTCTTCAACTCCAGCACATACATACAACCTTCAAGCCAAAACAATATCGCGACCAAAGCAGCATACGGATACTGTAAACCTATATGGTCACTACAGTCCCCGTGGGAAACTTCAAAAAAGCCGCGGCGAGAGCAGCTCAGGCCACACACCACCACTTGATTAGTAGTAAGTCAAGGGAGCGCGGTACGACAACCCTGGGACCGCGGAAACGTGAGGCGCAAAGGCGGCGGCCACAATCATCGCAGCGGCGGCGGCGACGGCGGCGACCGCCCTTTCGCGCTGCAAGGAATCCCCGTCCTCACTTCACCCTCTCTCTCACTCTTCAGACTCTCCCCCCTCCCAATTCCGCGCCGTGGTCCACCTCCCCCGGAAGGCCCTTCCCAAGAAAAGACCGCTACATGAGCCAGAGCCACAGCCAAAAAGAGGCCCAGAGCCAAAGTAGGCCAAGCGTCCTCTAGCCTGGAAGCGGTTTAGCCACCGCCCTGGTCCTGTCGCCGGGTGGGCAGCGGTCTTCTACCCGGGTTGTGGTTGGCTGTAGAGAGGTCCGAACCCTTGTCCAGCTCAGGACGATACCCCGGGGGCCACCAAGTCCTCGTCTCGTCCCAACTGCCACTGCAGAACGGATAGCCTCCCGTGCCTCTGGCTCTCTGGCTCTGGCTCTGGTCGTGGAAGAATATGTTTCCACAGTGGCTCGAAAGTCGAAACTCCCTCCTCCGAAAGTGCCCTCCAAGCCTCCCGCGGGTTCCTCTCCTTTCCTCCCCTAGCCTCCTCCAATCCTCCCCCTCCTCCTCCTCCTCGAGGCTCGCCCTCTTTCTTCGCTCCATTTTCAGCACGGCCCCCGGCATTGTCTCTGCTGCTCGCTTCATCTTCCGTGCGCTGCTCCGGCTTATTGTTCCCTTCGTCTCGTCTCGTCCGTGACCATCAACCCCCCCATGCCCAGTCGAGAAGCAAGGTCCGACGCTGCTTCAGCTTTGCTTACAATCTTCCAGAAGCCAAAAGGACCCTGAAATTGAAGCGGCTATTCTGTACGTAAGGCGAATGCCCCGGCCCACGCCGCTAGCCCGCGCTGCCCACGTCGTTGAATGAAGATCGCTGGGAACCTCCTTGACCAACGGGGCTGCTCGCGTGTCTTCAACTCAGTCTCCTTCTTCTTGCCGCAGTCAAGCCGCCGCTAACGCCCCCGGGATACCGAACCTATCCTTACAAACGGCCTCTGTACCTTCCTCTAAGGTTTAGTTCGTAGGGACTCTTGGCTCTTTTGCAGAGCTTCTAGACGGCCAAGCTCGTGTCATTCGAGATCACGGGCTTCAACTGCCCCAGCTTCCTAAGTAAGTGACCAGGTTACCCAGTTCCAAGGGTTTCGAAGACGGGCAGGCGAGCAGAAAAAAACAAAGAAAATAAAATAAAACACAGGATAGAGAAAAAAAGCAATAATGCTTCTGTAGCGCCTGTAGCTCGTAAATTAGCGGTGGGCGAGAAAGCTGTCGGGGTGAACCTTTGAGACACGATGGCCCTCCAAAACCCCACTTGACGTCGCCCTCCCGCCTCGTCACTTTATTGCCTGGCTGGTACGAAGTTACGAACTGCTCCAGTTGTCCAGCCATTTTTGACACTCCGGAGAAAGACCGCAATATCGCCTTGGCTCTCTCTGTCTCTCTCTCTCTCTCTTTAGACGATGGCCGTTTTTGGCGTCCGCTTGTAAGTGCCGACAGCTAGAGCCTAGGTGACGACGGCGACAACCTACACGAAGGGTGGGCAAGTTAAATTTGCTCAACGTAATAGCTGCTCTTGGGTTGGTCCAAGAAGGTTCATGTTTATTGCCGCTTCACGATGCGGCTCCTCTTCCACGCTGCGGTTGCTGCATCGTCACCGCCGTGGCCCGAAATACACATTGACAGGGGCCGTCGGACAGAGACCGATCTGGACTCTGGTGAGCGCCTTTGTTTTTTTGCTGGCTGCCGCTCGTATCGCTCTCTCGCTCGCATCGACTAAGGCGGGCTCGTCAACGCATATCGGGATTCGGGGATCCTTCCTCCACTTCTTCCATGGATGGAGCGGCTCGCCGCTTGCCCAGCATGAAGCAGGGGGCAATGAACCGAGAATTCACAGGGGCATGGAGCTCTTGATCTTGTGATTGCTTGTACGTACGCAAAATGTCGAACTGTCATATCTGTTTATGAGTAGGCATAGTGCTGTCCGGAGATGTCCTTGCGGCTGCATTCATTCACTGTGTAGTAATTTGCTTGTGTCCGGTAGCTTTGGTGTAATGAGCAGGTTGATGCTGGTTGTGCTGCTGAGGGTATTCCCATCCTAGGATGCTGTTCCCGACAGGAGTCCTTCTTTGGCGGCGATCTGCCTCCTCCCCTCCCCTCCCCTCCCGATGCGTGGATGCGTGCGCGCATCCATTCATCCGTCCAGGACTCCAGACGTCCATCCTGCAGAATACCTTATGCGTGTGCACCGCGATAGGCGGGACCCAATCGTCCTGTGCGACGTCGGAACGCCTGGTCTAAGTGCCCCTCTTGGTGATGACAGGCAGGTCAGACTTGCTGCATGTTAGTCGGCCGTGACCCAGAAACCAGACCCAGGCCCAGCAACGAGAGTTGCATTTCGACTACTCTCGACTCTTGGAATTGTCTCGAACTCGAACCTGATGCGGCATGCCAACGCTATCCCTGCTGCTTGAGTTGCTTGGTTGTCTAATGAATCAGCTCACGAGGCATGAACTTGGCCTGGGCCACAGGTGCGAGTATTGCTAGACCGCTGCGAAGCGTACCGCCTGGAGTTGCTCTTGTCTTTCTTTTACTGCGTGGCAGATGCGGGGGGAAATTCTGAAGTCTGAACCATAGGGAAAGGCGCCAAAACCCACCGCTCATCTGCTCAATTACTGCTTTCGGCCATCTAGCCGGGGTCTGTCTGTTTCTCTCGCCCTCTCCACATTGTGGGGATTCATCCTCCATTGGCACTGGTTGACTGGACCAGACGAACGCTGTTCATTTCCAATCGCCGTGACTCGCTACCTCTTCTCCGATCTCCAGCCTCCCCAGTCGAGGCTCGTTGCTTGTTGTTCGCGTGGTTGGCACGGTTGACAGTGTCCGTCATTCAAACAGTGGGTTATCGCTTGTGGGTGAAGGTGGCTGCGCTCCAGCCTCCAACACCACTTCTGAAATTACCATGCTTCAGCCTCCGTGATGATGGGTGCACCGTCCACATTGCCGGGCTGAAGGCGATGTGTCGTCTGGCTGTCTTGGGGCTGCAGCAACCACAGCAAGCGTCCTGTCAGTTGCCAACGGGGTTGCTGCAGGGTGTGTGGCACAACGTCGGTGTGCTATTTGCGGAGGTGATCAACCACATGGGAGAGTCTGACAGTAAGTCGCGTTTGTGTTGTCGCTGCAATCCGCCGCCAGCTTTGTGGCTCCCGACCGCCGTCCAACGCTTGCAAGGTGACAGGACGGGAGGCCGTTGAGACTTGAGTGACAAGCCATGCCAAACTTGTCCGTAAGTCGCAAAGTCGCAAGTAGCTGCATCTTGATGACGAACCCTCGAATGTCCTGCTCAAGCCTCTTGCTCAGATGATGATCTCGACAGGCTCTGCCTTCGAGCGCTGCTTCTTCCGGGGCCACAAATCAATCAATCTCCAACCCAATACGTCAGGTTCGCTATGGTTCGGATTTCCAGTGGCCCATCAGGCCGATCTGGCGTGTCGGCCGAGTGAGAGAGGGACGGGAGTTTGTCTCATTGGCCACCCGTTGTTTCGTGGCCTGAACTCACTCCTCCAACGTTCGCAAAGACTCCGAGATGTACTCCGTCCTCTGGAATAACTCGCAGTGCTGTAAGGGTCCGTGGAGAAGTTGTCTCCAAATCCGAGTCATTCCAACCACTGAATATGACGCAGGCAGTGCAACCTCCGATTCTCGTTGATTTCGGCCAATGTCCATCAATTCCTGGACGAGTAAAACCCAATCCAGCCACAGATGAAAGATCTGCTCCGAAAACTTGACAAGTGAGAGAAATCGACAGAGGTCGACGTCGACACCCCACTGCGCCTCATGTCTGCGAGGAAGCCCCGGAGCTTCAGCAGCGAGATGCCACACTCTAATGGAGATTGAGGGGTCAATGGGCCCAGTATCTGTATCTGGATCCGTGCAGCGTACTCCGTACGGGTACCCAAAGCAACGCGAAGCGAAGCTTTCTTTGAAGCAGAGGCCAGATGGGCAACTGGGCCGAATCGAGAACACTGTGCAGGAAGAGGATCCAGAAACTTCAGCAAGAGAACCGGTCGAGTGGAGCTCTTCCACTCTCAATCCCACGATGCTCTGCTCCAGAACACACCCAGAATCCTGGAGACTGTGGCCGTTACGGAACCGCTTTAGCTTGGCATTTGCAAATAGGTTGCTCTGAGGGCCCGCCCAAGACGGCGCTTCAACGTTTGCGGTCGAATTTCTGTGGTGCTGAGAGATATTACCATCAAAACCACAGGCTGAAGGGCCTGCCGCCTCGCCCGAGCTGTGGATAGGGCCGCGGTACTCTGTGCAAGTGTGGCGGGGATCCCAGCAGGCAAAACCGCTGCGCAGCATTGGCAATAGGGGAAGCCAATGCAGCTCCAGCTCCAGCTCCCGCTGGCCACCCCTCTTCCCCTTCTTCTTTGCCACAGCCTCGCGACGCCAGTCTGTTCGTTCGCTGTCGCCGAGCGCTAGGACGCAGGAGACGTGAAGAGTCCCCGGAATCTGGCCGACTCCACAGCCTCTCACTCTCCCGTCCGTCCACTGCACCTCGGCGGTTTTTTTGGCTGTTGGCTTCGGGCGTGTTCCTCTTCTGACAGCAACGTCCGGCCGAGGCTCAATGCCGGCACCGACAAACCAACCATGCCTTTGACGGGGAGGCGAAACGCTCCAAGACGGGACCGCGGTTGCATTGCTGACAGAGCGGAGGATATGAGACGCGAACGACAAAGACCAGAATGCGCTCTCTGTCAAACCTGCGCCACTTATTTCCGTGGGACCACGAGGGCGACGACGACGACGACGCCGCCGCCCAACGGCAGAAAAAGAGAGACACCGACATTTCAGTTGTTGAGTACTTGTTTATCCCTGTAAGATAATAGGGCGACTGAGTCAATCCACTGCCAATTCAGTCCTGTTCGCGGCCGGCAACATCAAGATTCGATAGGCTTTTTACAGGGAATGGTGGATACCCTAACAGCAAAGCAAGCGATAGGCTTGGAATGTTGGGGTAGATATCCGTAGATACAGAGTTAAGAAGGGAAAAGAAGGAATTCTCTATGAGACTTGTCGCTGCCCGGTGGCTGTCCGTTACCCCTTTGCCCGATGGCGCGGTCAGTGGCCGGGACGAGATAGTCCAGGATCCCAGGGCAGCCGTTTCGCCGCCATCAGAGATGATCCCTACAGGTGAATGGCTCGCGTGTAAGCGACGTGGTCTTCCCCGGATTGAGGTTCAAATGAGACATGTCGTTGTTAAACGAGCCTCATCTCTCTCCAGAGGGTCCTTTTGAAAAAGCAGGGGGCTTGATCAACCGGAGATATGTCAAGCAGGAAGCTCCAAGGGCATCGTTGGTTTCATCGATAACAGAATCAGGTGAGGCTATCCGAGGGGATGGGACCGGCTATGGGCGTTGTGGATTGTCGGTGAGTTTTGGATTGGAGTCGCATCGGCAGTGATCCTCACGCCCAGGAGGGCGGACAGCCAAGCCGTCGATGGCAGTCGTAAGATGTGAATTCTGAGGCCTTTTCTTTCGTCGGGGGGGGGGGGGGGGGGGGGGGGGGGGGGAGGCGGGAGGGCCCGGGGGGGGGGGGGGGGGACGCAGACGGGGGGGGGGGGGGGGGGGGTTGGGGTTGGGGGTGTTTTTTGGGGGGGGGGGGGGGGGGGGCGGTTTCGTAGAGGCAGAGCGAAAGAAAGGCCATGCAAATCTACGAGAGGTCGTTCGAGTCGGGCCACAAAGAGACAAAGTGACAAAGTTGACACGCAGAGAGAGAGTTGAACCGTTTCGCTGGGAGGCTGACTGAGCCTATGGTGGTTAGACTGTGGTACGTACTAAGTCTTGCAAGGAAGAGGGCAGGAGCGAATCGAGATAACGAACCACTTTTTTGCAAGAAAGAGCACAGACGCGCTTTCCCCAAAATGGTATCCTTGCTGCATGCCATGCTTCGATATCCCTGTCATCAATCAATCGATGCAGGGTCCTCATCGTTCATTGGCTGTGATGTTTGCGCCGTTATCGCCAGTCTCTGATTGGTCGCTTACTCAATTCATGGTGACGCACTCTTGCCTCAGGCAAGATTCACTGGACGTGCAGGGCCACCAAAAGACCTCGGGGCGTGTAGGGAACAAGCTCCGATTCCGGGTCCATCACCTCCTTCACGTTCGCTGCCGAAGCGCGTTCGCGGGCTGGCAAACGCCTGGCGAGCGAATGGGCAGCTGGCGCATGCAGGGCGTTCGACATGTGACGTCGACTCTGCCGGCATCCCTCGTCGGCGCAGTCGGTGACGGCTCGCTCACCGCCTAGTGACATTCTAACACGCTACAGCGAATCGTACAGAGAGACGCAGCAACAGCTGGCGCATTTCGCTGTTATCACCGTACCGCTTTGCTTTTTTCCAGGCCACCCTATCCCGGCCGGGGGTTCGATGCCGCCCAAATGAGTGTTTGAAGGTTGCTATCTATTGCTTTCCGGCATGGCGGAGGTTCATCCGTCAATTATCTGAACCTCCAACCCGGTTCCCCGAATAGGGCAATTGAGAGACAGGAGAGAGTGAGATTGCTGGACAACGAACGGGACGACAGTAACCTGACTGATCCAAAATAACACACCCCCCCTCAATCCGATACCTCAATCCGACACCGATGCCAACGATGACAACCACCACCACCAAAGCCAAGAGAAAGTCAACGACCGTTCCATGTCAAGATGCGTCGTGATGGTGTTGCCGCCGCCCGCCGGCGTCGATCCGTGCAACAACCCTTCCCTTCGCCTAAACTGCGCCGCCCGGTCGATCTGCTGCCCCAACCATTCTTCCCCCAGACTCTGATGTAAGGGCGAGAGGTCTTGCGCTCCCAAACACTTCCCAACTTTCGCGACGTTCAAGGGGGATTTTCATGATCGTCCGCGCGGGAAGGGAAGGAATGTGCGTAAGACGGAAGCGCCAGCTCCATGCTAGGCTACCTAGCAAATTGTTTCCCCGCGGAGGCACACTCACCACCACCCCCGAAATTCCAATGGGAACTGAGACTCAACCCTCCAAAAGGCTGTCCGACATGAACCCTGCCACCGGCAAGATGCCCGGCTGGCCCGCGCTATCGTACCCGACGCCGGTCGCACCGGCCGAGAAGTTAGAGAGAGCCTCGCCCCCTTTTCCATCTTGAACATCTCTTCTTCTTTCTATCAGGCCCTACCTTCCTTCCGGGCCCCGGGCCCCGGGGGAGGGAGGGTGCGCAAATCCTCGAGAAGAAAACGCCAAATGACGTACCGGAGGGTTGCTCTTCTTCCGCTCTAGGAAGGCTGACACGGGATCGCTTTGGGGTAAATCGAGATTCCGACACAATGGCCCAGTATGGTTCCCACGCCCTCCCCATCACTTCTTTGACTCCAAAGAGACTCCAAATCTTTCCAGGCTTTTCAGCCTATCTAACTGACTCAACATGCTGGACAACTGACGACGAGAAAGAAATAAGGGGAACAAGGAAGCAAAATCCCGCGATTGTCGCTTCCTGTAGTGGTGCTTTGGCTTTCGCAAACATGACGTCGGTGCTAAACACCAAACCCCAGGCGCGGTCCTTGACGATCAGGATAACCCCCGTACGGAAAACATTGCCAAGGATCGCCCAAGCTTAGATATCGATGCCCCGAGGAGAAGCAGTACATACGTAAGTATGCCAGGCATCTTGGAAAGAACTGACGCACAGAAGGTGTTTTGGCCCTTTTGATTGTCACTCTCAAGCTTTGTCCAGGCCGTTATCAGAAAATGTGAGAGTAAAGAGAGAGAGAGCCCTGACAAGCCGACGCTCGACAGCGTTCCTGATTGGTTCTGCATCCTCAAAGCATTGTTTCCCGATTGCCTGAGCGCGAAAAAGTGACAGGTAGGATTCTCTCATGGGAATTGACCAAACCTTGATAACGGAAGTTCCGTCCGCTGCTGCGCTGCATAGAATTAAGGTTCATCTAATGGCCTCGTGTTTCTCCATGTGTGGTGTGCACGGCCGGAATTAGTCTAGAATGTCTGACCCTGAAATGAGCAAGTCCGCCCAAAATGCTAATTGCTTAGACTGCCAGGAGTTCTGTAGAATCATACCCATGGAAACCGCGAGTTTATCTTGTTGCACCCTCAAGTTTGATCTCCTGCACCAAAGCAACCCATATGGCTACCGAATCAGCCCAAGACAAATGGCAAGGTTTTGAAATCTAGACGTGACGCAAGCAATAATCCTGCTTGTTGATCAAGACGAACTTTCGTCTGTCAACTCAGATAACAAGATCAAGGTTGGGCTCCACGGTGAACGTCTCACGTACACGCCTTGCAATATTAGAATCTGCCTTCCAATATATGTCCACTGTCTCTAGACGGTGGTTACTACTTACTTATTCTACTATGATTACTCGTGAGGAGACGGATGAGGTCTAATGACTGAACACGGCGATGGTGATATACGAGCCCGCAATGAATCTCAAAAGAACAATATTCAAAGCGAAGCTGTTATGTTCACCATTCATAATCAGACCAATTGCAGCCTGGGTAAAACAGCTCACTTCTGGTTGGGAGGCACCGATGTCGTACCACCAAGCACAATATCTTTATATACCTCCATTGAAGAAGTCTCGGCACGCAAGCGCACAAATGCCTCTGCTCGTCCACTTTGCGAAGACGACTGTTCCGTTTGATTCGTAGATTAGCGGGAGTCTTCAGCTAGCCTCGAGGAGCATTGGGAGACCGCGAAATCAGCATCTTTAGCCCAGAGACTGAGAAATGAGGGGATATTTCAATAAGGGAGTAGATAAAATCAGCCATCTCTTGTCCGGCACTGTGAAGACTTAGTACTCCTGAGGCATGTGTTAAAAGAAGGGGAGCAATCGTCATTATAGCATCTATAAGGGAATCGCATTGTGCAATGATGGGTATCGAGACTACAGCAAAGCTCAGCTGTCGTGACACAACGATCCGGTCTGCTGAAGTGTTGAAATTCATTGACCAAGGGTGAGTGAAGTCGGCATCAACTTCTGTCAGTGTCTCTGGGCATGGAAGAATGCAAACAAAGTGCTATCGAAGTCGCATTCGAAATTGGTATGAGGCATAGCGAACATTTTGCTCACTTACACTACTACGAAAGTCTGCTACTTGTCTATAGGGAAAGGGCATAAGTTCCGGTTGACTGATTTTATGCAGTTACTCTTGAATGATGTATTAGTTAGGAGTTGATCAAGTAAGGTAATATCAGGTACTGCTGTTCGACATCTTTCCAGGACATCAAATCTCGCTGCAAGAAACTCGATCAATTCAAATTTGACTTCTCCTCATCAACCCCTCATCATCACCCTTTTCTATGTCAAGCTGAACGTTTTAACTAATAACATCTATTACTCCCCCGTTGTGCCGCTACTATTCCACAACTCCCTAAACATGCCCCCTTCCTGATCCTTCAACACTCGCGGTGCCCCTTTCTCAACAACACTGCCTTTATCCATGACCACGACCGTATCACAGTCCAAAACCATATCCAGGCGATGAGACACCATGATAATCGTATAACCCTCAAACTCCCTGCGAATGATATCCTGCATAACAAAGTCCGTGGCCCGATCAACACTAGAAGAAACCTCATCAAGCAATAGTATACCTCCTTCGGTACCGTCACGGCTCTTCACCCGCCTCCGTAAGACCGCCCGAGCCAGACAAAACAGCTGCTTCTGCCCCTGGCTGAAAGACTCCGCGGTGAGTCCGGCACCTATCCCGCCTCGCTCCTGTATCCCCGCGAGTAATCCTACTTGCCCCAAGACCTCGAGACACTCAGCCTCGGTCGCCGCATCAAACGGGTCGAGGTTGTCTCTCACCGAAGAGCCGTCGGGGAGGAAGATTGCGTCCTGTGAGACGGCTATGATGCGGCGCCGCAAAGTATCTCGATCGACTTTGCTGAGAGGCACGGAGTCCATCACAATGCTACCCGCACTCCCAGGTAGAGTCTCGATGAGACGAAGCAGCAAGAGGATGAGCGATGATTTGCCGCTGCCTGTTCTTCCGCATATAGCTACCCTCTCGCCGGGTCTGATTGAGAGGTGCAGATCTCGGATGGCAAGATCCGCAGGCGGCTTCTCCTCGCCCGCTGAGTTGGGCTGATCCCTGGAGACTCCGTAAGACGCTGAAACTCCTTTGATCTCGATTGCTCCCTTCTCAGGCCAGCTTTCCTTGGGAATGACGTCTTCGTCGGGCCCAGTCTCTGGAGTCACCGTATCGCTAAACGTCTTTAGGCGCGCCACTGCTCCTATACTTGTTTCTAGCATGGTGTACGACTGAACGATTGTAGTCAGGGTATCACCGAAAGACATGAGAGTTACTAGTGATGCACCGGTGAATCCAGAGCTGGCGCGCAGTTGCGTCGCCAACGTCACTACGATGGTCGCAAGGGCAGCCACGAGTAACTTGAGTACTAGCTGTAGCCAACGCTGGATGATTGCGAGCTGATATGCTGACCTCTGGCTGGTGTCAAGAAGGTCGTTGTTGACTGTGATATCTGCAAATATGAAACCCAGAGCTCTCAACGTCGCTAAACCCTTGAGAGTATCGATAAAATGAGAGCTGTGAACAATATGGGTCAGTGCAGTCCTAAATGAGTTTAGATAGCAGTCACCAGCAGACTCACTAGAGAGGACTCTTTGCTTCAAGCTCCAGAACACGTAGCTGCCTCGAAGTCCGAAGGTAAAACATCTGCACAAAGTACAGAATCGCCACAAGACAGGGGTAACTAATCGCCAACCACGGCGACGAGACGGCAATAACGACAGCCATACCCACAGCAGCAAACAGCAGCACGGAGAAGTTGATCAGTGCCATCGGCAGCTCGCTATCAATCAGAGCGAGATCCTGAGCAAACAAGTTCGTCACTGTCCCCGTGTCAGTCGTCGCAAAGAACCTCAATGGCGCGCCGACGAGCGTCCGCAGGGCTCGCTGGTGCAAACTCGATCCGGACTGTGAGATCATGGTCTGCGTATTGATGAAGACGACTACCATCAAGGACCCGAGACACATGATTTGTAAAAGAGCGTAGATGCCCATGTAGAACGCGCCTGAGCGCTTCGGGATCTCGGCGGTGATGTCCTCGGACCAGAACTTCAGCCAGACGGTGGGGAAGTTCATGCAAAAGGCGTAGGCGCAGCACCAGAAGATGAAGACGGCAATGACCCATGTGGCCATGCTTCCAAGGTAGTGTCTGTATACTGCAACATCGCCCAGCTGGCGTGCCTTATCCGGTTCGTCCGCCACGTCGGAGACTTCAGTGATTATTTGAGCCAAGGGGATCTTCTCAGGCTGGCTTGACACTTCATTCTTTCCTTGAGGAGAGGTCTCGGTCTCTTGGATCTTCAGACTTTGAACGTATTTCCCGTTGGTCTGCAAGTCTGCAAAGGATCCCTGCTCGACTACAGTACAGTCGGCACCGAGTGCGATGATATGGTCTGCAAGTGGTAAATGACGCACAGAGTGTGTGCATAATACGGCCGTGGTGCGCCTCTGGCGAACGATGCCTTGGTTGCCAAAGACCCGATTGAAGACGTGCTCTTCGGTGGTCGCGTCGAGGCCGCTCATGATGTCGTCCAGTATAAGTAGGTCACATTCGAGGTACAGGGCGCGAGCGAGAGCGACTCGTTGTCTCTGCCCACCACTCAAGGTGAGCCCGTTGCTGCCGATTTTAGTTCGATCGCCTTTGGGTAGTGTTGAAAAGTCGGCAGATAGCATCGTGGCATCGATTACTTGGCGGTATCGTTCAGGATCCAGTTCCGAGTGCCCAATGATATTGGCCTTGATTGTGGTATTGTAGAGGAACGGAGATTGATCGCAGTAGCCTACCCTGCGATAGTTGACACTGAAGATCGCTTCGCCAGAATAGTGTGGGATCTCGCCGAGAAGGCCTTTCAGAAGTGTCGACTTGCCAGAAGCCACAGGTCCTACGATGATGGTCAGGGAGTTGGCAGGGACGAATACGTCAACGTCGTCCAGAACGTACTTTCCCTCAGTCCATCCAAACGAAGCTTGCTTCACTGTGATTGAGGAAGAATGTAATTCAGTGGGCTTCGTATCACTTCCCAAACTTGACAAACGCGGGGCGTCGGGCGTTTTGCGATAATCTATACGGCTGTCTTTGTCTAGGTACGCCTGGATACGACCCAGGCAGGCGAACGCCGAAACCAGTTGCGGAATGGTCTGGAACAGGCTGCCTAACGGACCAGCCAAGAGCATGAGGTACGCCATAGAAGTGAAGATACGCGTGACGTTGAGGGTCTGAGAAGTCACGGCGAAAGCCATGACGGGGCCGAGCTGAGAGGGCGTGTATGCAATCGTCACGGCCGCGAGAAGCATCAGTCGCCATTTCCCACCCACGCTAATTTCCTTGAGGCGTAAGCTGTGTATCAGGGTTTCAATCGGCCCCGACATGGCCGAGATCTTGAGTGCCTTCATGCTCGAGATAGCTTTGGCGGTTACACCGACTCGCTGCTGAATTGACTCCATCCACAACGTTTGACGTTGTCCTGTGAATTTGGCGGTCACCGTGGAGGCTGCCGTGCAGACGATGACTACAACGACAGGTGCAACAAAGGCGGCGCCAATTTGCCGTTGCAGCAACCAACACGCCAACGCAACCTCGATCGTGTTGGCCCAGTATTCGTGGATCGGCTGAAAGCCATTCTTGACACGCTCCACGTCGGCGTTCATGAGAGTCAAAGCTGCGGAATCGTCTGCGGCGGACAAACTGATGACGGTCGTTTTGCGGTAGACGGCCGAGGCCAAGATGCCTCTTGCCATGTGGACGAAGCGCTCTTGGAAGTACCAGTAAACGGAACTGGACGTAGCCATGCCAATGTAGGTGAGAAAAGCAGCGCCGATATACCCGTACCCCTTGTTCGGTGACGAGGCACCCACAGGCTCCTGGAGATAGTTCAACAAGCTCTCAACCATGAGAGGTTGGCAGAATTTGAAGCCCATCTGACAAAGCCGTGGGATGATGGGCAGTATGAATGGTCCTACAAGCGTCTGTGCAATGCCCCTGAATAGAGCATGCTTGTGGCCCTGCGTTTGATTCTTCTCTAGAAGAGGCCCGAATTTGGCGTACAGGACCTCGGCTGACATTGCTTCATCGAGCGCATACAAGTCGTCGAGGACAAGGAGCTTGCGGAATCCCCTGAGAAAGAGGTCATTGACCCAACAGTAGGTCGACAGACTAATGATACCGCTCGTCGCCTCTGGACTTTGCTGCTTTTCGGAGGCTATTGCTTGCCTTTTCGTCCAAGATTCGATGACGAGTACGACGACTTTCAGAATGACACTAGCGATCGACAACCGAGCTTGATGGAAATCGTTGGCAGAGTCTGCCGACAGCCATTCAGTTCTCGTGCGAGCAATATCAAATAAGACAGTGATCAGGAGGTATACACCGAGCAGCATCGACGGCCGCGGTGAGCGGGCATGCTCCAAGAATGAGAGAAGGATCATGACTAAGGATGCAATGAAATTCATCGTATCGGATGCGAGCCCCAGCCGGGACGACCAGTACGTGCCACGACTTGTCAGAATGAGATGGCCAAGTTGCAGGCCACTGTAGGTCACAAGAGCAGACTGATAAAGTATTAGGTATAGTGTAGTTATAGGTAGTGTCTTCGCTTACGATCTTAAGGCATAGCAGAATAGTCTCGTCAATTATCTTTTGTTTTTGAAGCAATTGTAACAGTCGCGGCAAAGAACACAGGATCAACACGGCTGCCGGAGTAATTGCCAAGGCAGCTTGCTCGAATCCGACAGTGAAGTCAAAATCATCACGGCATCCGTGGACGACTGGACCCCGTGACCCGTCGTTGACACATGAGGAACTCATCGAGAGGCTGAAAATGCTGGCGTTGGGTAAAGATTGCCGAAAGCGCAACGGCGCACAGTTGAGACGCGTCGCATAAATCGAAAGGATTCGACAGAATTTTGAAGAAATGTACCTCGGTATTAAGAATAGGTCCCTTTATCAACAAGTTGCCCCCTGTGCGGCGTATCATCACCCCGAGCAAGTAAGCATCATCTGCTTGGCTGAATTTCCGGCTCTATCGCTCGACATTTCGGTTCTCCACACGGAACTGTGCCCCTTGGGCCAAAATGAACAAAAAAAGTCAACCTTCTTAAAACAACAAAACACACATAAGAACATTGCTTCACTCCTCGCCTTAGCAAGGGCAAGGGAAAATACAGAAATTGCAAGGAATAGGGCAGGGGATGATAAAGCAGAAGCGTCCGGGACAAGGTCCGCGACCATCATCACCGCCGCGAAGGCCCATCTCCATCTGCTCTGTTTGGGGCTGTGGGCGCTGAGGATCTTTTGCGCGGCGAGGCTGATTAGTGAGAGGTTCAAACGTTCACGGCTATTCGACGAAAGAGGACTCTGTGCTCACCCATGGGTTGGTAAGGGGCCGGCTGTTGGGCGTCGCTCAATGTGGAAGGAGAATCTGCACGCCCAGATGGGGCAACTTGGCTAGATTGGTCCATTGTGTTGTTGGAAGTGTTGTTGGAAGTTGGTGGAGCTTTCGTTGACAATTGCGCAAGATGAGTACACTTTTTTTGGTCGCGAAAGAGAGAGATGTTAATGTCTCCCGAAGATGAGAAATATGGCCTGGGGTCGAAGATGTTGCTAGGATGAGAAAGGTAAATGGCCATGACGCAGCCGCCTCAGAAAGAGATGGGATGACAGCAATCCAAAGGGTGGCTGTGCAGGCGTCACGTGCAGAGCCGATCAGGTGATCCTTATTAAACTACGAATGCTGTCAAAAGCTCTAATCACGCGCCTGCCTTCCAGAAATTTGATCAAAAGCGAGCTATATGGACTTGGAAATGCGAGGTGATAGACAATATCCATGATGGTTGAGTTCTCCTGCCGTTTGGTGGCTGCGCATTGCTTCTGGAGTAAATTCCATATCGGACGAATGAGGCGGCAGACGCCTCGGAGGTCCGACCCGCCGGTCGGATCCCAGTTCCGGAGCCGAGACCCATTCTCTTGCTCCGTGCCCGGTCCGGTCATCTGCTTGTAACCGCATTGTCTGAGCTCAGCCAGTGTGTTGCTCCTCATCCTACCTTACCTTGACAAAATTGCTTTGGAAATTAAAAAAACGCAAATTTGAGGGTGATTTCTTTTTCCTTTTTTTTTTTTTTTGGGGGGGGGGGGGGATTACGGTCATAAGATACAACTCGATGCGTTTGCTTCAACTCATTGCAAAGAAAGTCGCCTGCCTTGTAGTATCCCCGGCACAGTAGGGTGATAAGTGAAGATAGGCCACCCCGACTCTATGGCGACATAGATCGCACATGTAAACGCCGGGTAAGAGATGATACACCAAGATGAAGTGGAGGCGGGATCGACATATATACTGTACGTAGGTGCTCATTCGCGCATACAGTACTCAACCCCGGACCCGTTTCATTCCAATCCCGTCGGACAGTTTCAAAAATAAGCCTCTGGTTGCATTGGCTCTCGGGGCGATCGCTGACTCGCCATGCAACTGTACAGAAATACCTACAACTGCGGAGCGACCGACACAACAACCGGGCAAGGATACAACCCCCTTTTTACTATTTTGACAACTCCCAAGAGTTGCTGAACCATTCAACTCATTCGCATGTGGGGGCCACCCGCGCGAACAACTCACCATCGTCAAACCACTAGCCATCGTGGGGGGTTTGGCGACTTTATTTTAGTAGGGCGCCCTCGCCCTTCTAAATAAAGGCAATGTATGAGACGCGGACAGCGTCCCGCACCACGGTCGAGAGAGAGCCAAGAGAAGGACAAGAAATAATTGAAACGTTCATCGCCAAGACCAGCGCGAGACGGCAGCCACAAGCTTTTCTTGCCCTCCTACTCTTTTACCGCTTCATAGCAGATCCCAATCGGCTGCTCACTAAGCCAACCTCACTGTGATTGTCGCTGGCATCCTTTCTACCTCCCTTGGAACCGATAATACTCCAAACCTGCCAAGGTGCAGCCAAGGTTTTCGGGCCACCAGCCGATTGCACCGCCAGACGTCTGTGGCCGAGCCTCAATTAGCAGACCTCCAAAATAGACATGATACTCCTGGCTATTGTCAAAACTGTAAAAAACAGGAAGTGAAAAGAGGAGACGAATGCAAAAGGGCTCCTTGTGAATGAAGTATATAATCGAGACGAATGAACGCACAGTCTCGGTCTCATCTCTCACTAGCTCATCATCATCACACAACAGTCTTCAGCTTCAACTTCATCCGATTCGAACGCTTCGAACTCATCTAATCTTCCCCGCAACTGCCAAACGCCAGACTACCAAACCCACATTCAAACTAGAAACTATGCGTGGCATCTTCTTCACCGTCTTCACCCTCGTGGCCGCCGTCGCCGCGCAGGCACCGTACACCGGACCTTGCTCTGATACCGCCTGTGGCGTGGAGAGCGAGAACTGCGATGTCCAAGGCCGCCAGTGCTTCCCATTTCCCAACATTGCTCCAGCGCTCCGTGAGGGCTGCGTCTGCGGTTCTGGTTAACCCGACATACACCAGACTTGGAATTTCATAGGCGTGAGTACGGACCACTTCCCCGTGATGTGTCAATCATCATCTCATACTCAATATAGGTTTTGGGATCAGACTCGGCGAAGATCAAAGCGGTAAGGCGCGCATAAAAGGGCCACCGGAACCTCAATTGGAAAGGTTCCGTAGAACACGGCATAGGAACATGGCACATAAGCGACTACTTTGGCGCCAAGGACATCGAGGACACCAGCATTGTTACTTCCATAGCTAGATTTTGGCTCTTGATTACAGCGAATTCATTGCATTTGAAATTCCAAGTGTCCACTGAATACGAAGAAATATTGTTCTCCGCTTGGGTTTGTGACTTGGTCTGGCTCTACAGATAGTATCCTTGCAACTCCGATTCTAAATCTTCCGAGAAAAGAGCTTGTACCCATCATCAACCTCATAACGTAGGACTTGCTCAGATGGTGGACTACTGCGAACAGCGTCGACAGACAAGATTTGCGCGATTCGTTCGTGGACTGATTCCGTTAGCTGTTTGAGTCAGTTTATGCCAGAGAGAAGAGCTTGGCGTTGCTTGACGGACATTGTACCGAGCGAAACCGCCCAGCCTGGGGCCGCGCGAAGCCATACTCTTAGGAAGCTTGTGTCGCGGGTTTCTCGAAAGGATAAACCTGGCTGCAATCTTGACTTCAAATGCGGAGAAGACCGTTGGAGAATCCGGGAGACAACGACACAGCCAAGTTAACTTTGCCATTTCCATGGCTCATACTTTGGTGTTTAATTACGCCATCGTCCGAGGATAACCTATTCTTCACAGTCTTCATTGGAGATGCTGACTTACTCGGTCGTACTACATTATTCTTCGCATCCGACTGATAGCAGTACCCGTCATTTCCAAGCGTTTGGATACGGCTGGCTCCACCATCAAGATGTTTAGACTGAACGAAATGGACATATACGTTGGGAAGCCAAGGCCCTAAGATCTTGTTCGTCCTGTCCCTATCTCTTCAAAGACGGGACCTTTCAAGTCTCAACGTCTGGCCGAGATTCCGTGACCTTGCTCGAGTCTGCCTCAGCGGTATCCCACTCTTCGAACTACATCCTTCACACATGGTCCCCGAGGTTTAAAGCCGAACTTGAATTCAGAGAGTTCCGTCATGTAGCGGATTGCGTTCATGGCCACATTGTCGACCTCCTCCAACGGTACTCTCTTAAAGGCCCCTGACAGGCAATCGAATACCATAAAGGTGTTATCAAGAGACACTTACTTACCAGGTAGTTTCGTGTACCTTGGCTTAGCACAGGTAGGGGCAGGTCAGTACGTAAGCTACCATTCAAGTTCAGCCATATTTCAGGGATGAAAGCCCCCAAGTTTCCAAATTCATCATAAAACACCTTCTTATCCCAATCAATAACCCAAGAATTCACGAACAATGTCACTCCCTTGACGATGCGCTTGCCACAGATCTTATCCATCATCTCGGTTCTCCGTGGGATACTTTCCGGCGAAACCGGTCTTCAGCGCATGATCTTCGATACCACGGCATCAATGTAAGCCAACTTCGTCCGTTCCGCAAGGCGCGACTGCCGCTTTCTGCCAACGAAGTTATCTGGGATGGCTTGCGATCGCACCACGAAATCCACGTTCGTGTGCGTTGCGACGAGAAACCAGAGCATCTGTCGCAAGCTAGTCTCCATACCGCCTTAGACGCTCGTTGCGAGGGTGAAGGCCAGATCTATTTACGACAACGGGGCTTGTTTCGGTGTACTTGGCGGTAACTGCTCGGCTTGCACTCGCACACTTGATAAGAGAATTCTCATCCAGAAACAAGCACATACGACCACACCCATCGGAGAATTCGGGATCCCGTCCGCTCTCCCATAGACAAGCCGATGAGGGCCAGATCAGTAGTTGAGTCGGTGACGATCAGCGAATACCTGGTGTTGTATGTTTTTTGTCGTTTTAATTGTTGAGTGGTGGGTCACGATGTTGCTTCGATAGCAATAGTGCCTAGTAAAGCTGATCGATTGACTGGCCGAAACTTTGACGCAGCAATGGATCCGAGACTCGGGGTTAGCAGTTGATCATGGAGTCTCGGATAGGCATGATGCTCGTGCATCAGAGCGAATCGTGAGTTTCGCGGCTATGCTCCGGTGATCATGTCCATGCTCGCAGAGGTCGGCCTGTGGCTGTAGTACACGCTGCGTTTCTCAAAGAGCTCATTTTGTGCTTCGGCGGTTTTCATAACCACCGCGGGAAGGATCCCAAAGAGTCTCGTCGTCGAAACTGGTCTATTGCGCCAACCCATTCATCCCGCCGTCGGGGCAGTCTCTCTAAAGGTGAGCGATGGAGGTCGCTAATGATGGAGAGATTGAGGGGCTTTAGGGTCGTCTCGTCATTCTTGCCTCTTTTTGATAACAGAAAGAAGACTGTAACCAGTGCGACTGCTACCAGTGTGGCTGCGATCAATCGCTAGCCATATCGTCGTTCAGGCGAATTACGGTAGAGGGTTGAAACTGGGCATGTAGAGATAGCAACAGGTCGAAACACGAATGGTGCAGGCAACTTATTACACGCACGGAGTAGTGATCGCACCATCCGCCCAAAGGACAAATGCACGTGAGTGGGATCAACAACCAAATCGCATCCGGGCGTCTTCAACCTTCGGAACAATACGCAACGCTGGCCAAAGTCTCACCTGGTCCTTTTCTCATATCGCAAGGACAAACGCACGCATGGGATCTACTCCGCAGGTCATGAGAAGAAGGCTAGCAACGTCTGCCCAGAAGGATTCACCCTAGCCGGGGGCGCTGCCTCACTGGCCGTATGAATGGTTGGTTGATTTGGACGAGTTGGCAGGATTTACTGTAAACTCCGCTCCGGAAGAAACACTGGACGGGGCCGATCCGTTTGGACTAGCGGCCCGTTTCGACCGGCAGATGGCGGGAGCGGGGCCTGTCCGGACGCTAGCGCACCGATAAGCTGGGGTGGCAACTTCGAGGCACATTGATGGGTTCTCAGTCTTTCTCGTAACGAATGGCTATAACAAAGTTCAAAGACCGCGTACATTCTCACATACAAGAAAGAGATGGTAATCTGTATGTGAGCTAGTCTATAGACATAAGAAGGAAATGAAGCCTCAATACTTTTGTATTGCAAAGTCTGATGTACCTCATTCCTCTGCCTCTGGCTTCTGCGCGTATACCACGTGGCTGTAATGATGTACTGTTAAAGAAAGTCCATGATTCAGACCGTTAAGCAATGTCAGGGGACGCAAGACTCACAACTCGAAGTAGGCATGGAAAATCTTCGACTTCAGTTCGCGACGGACTTCGGCGAGGAGAACCACAACTTCCTCCTTTGTCCAACCGAGAACGCCAGTGAAGAGCCTAAAGGTAAAAGCATCAAGTCCATCAAGAACTTGCATCACGTTGATCATGCCGCATTCCTTGTAGTGGGGATCCTTAGGCCAGTCTCCGATTGGGATCTTGTACTTTTGGTGGACAACGTTGACGTAATCACCGGCCTCCCTGATCCAGCCCTCCAGCTGAGGCCCCGGGTTGGGATCGCGGCCTACAATTCTGCAAGCCTCGAAGAACTTATGCAGCCACTTGTAAGTCGAGTGCTGTGGAGTAAGTGAGCCATCGTCGCTTCTATACTCCAAGTCGTAGTCCTGGAACTCAACCCAGCCGCCCGGAGCTACATTTCTAAGTTACTAATCAGCGTCTGAAACTTGAACTTATCAGTTCCTTCTGAAGTCTTACTCATAGACACTCCTCATCAACTTGGGCCAGTCTGCAATAGAAGACGTCATGTATCTGCTGAAAATGAAGTCGAATTTGCGTGTGTGAATCCAAGGACTCTCAACATCATCAATCTCGAATTTGACATTAGGCAGGACCCTGAGCATCAGTTAGGACGAACAAATTTGCTGGCTTAGAGGACTGGTGTACTTACCAAGTGGGTTGAATGGCACTCAAATCATTTCCCAATATCTGCGGGGTTGTTTATTAGTTCAAAGACATCACGGGCTCTCTTTTCTTGTACGGGTTTCAAGAAGCTCACTTCAGCATGTGGAAGCTCTTCGGCTACCTGCAGAGCCCCTGGTTTATATTAGCTCGTGGCGTTACTCCTGCATGGACTCTCTTAACTTACAGACTCCGGTACCAGTTCCTATGTCGAGGACTCTATTGATTTTCTCCTTCTCAAGAGGGGCTAGGTAAAGTTTGTCGCCGATGGTTTTCACCATGAGCATGTGGTTGAAGTCAAGACGGTCACTCTCAGTCTTTGAGTGAAAGAAAGTTAGCTCTTGCCTCGAGTTTGTAGATAGTCTTGGGGGCAAATCATGCCTCATCATTCGGACCCCAATACGCTGATCAAGATTAGCCGAGCGTCGCACGTTGGGCAAGGGCTTTACCTACTGCCAGAGCGAAAAGCATGGTAGCGGCGGCCATGCTCCGTGGGGTAGTCAACAACGCTTGAAGATAGCGATGCCGTATACGAGGACCTGGATCGATATTCAGCTACAAAGTAAGGTTTCGCAAGTTCAAATTCTTACCAACGACTATCAATGGTCGATGCAGTGTCAGATCCCTGGCGACGGAGTTAGAGCAAGAAAGGAACCACGTTGACTTATAGATCACAGACCAAGCCCTCATCGTCGACCTCAATGTCACCTGTCTCAATCTCGTGATTGTTCTGAGGAGATCCAGGTCCGGCCGGAGAGGCAGTCTTGGATCTCACTGGTGATGCAGTCTTGGACCTAGCAGGGGAGGCAGCTTTCGTGCGCCCCGGGGAACCCGACGCGGGTGCGGGTGGGTCGATTGGTGATCCAACCATATCGAATGACAACCTGGGCAGCGTCCGGAACCCCGTTCTACAAGGTATGCTTGGACGCAACGTCGTTTGAAAAAATTGCGAAGAGTGGGAAGTAAGAAAGAACGTGTTCGGCAGCTGCAGTTATACCACGAAGAATTTGTACTCAGTTGGGTTCTCCTCTTTGCGCGGGCCCCTACAGCTTGGAAACCCATTGTTGGTGCATGCACAACCGTTCCGTTTCCTTGAACCAACATAGCAAACACGCATACGCCCGGGGTCAAAGACTAATCAGCAGTGTCTTAACGATCTCGTAGCGGGGGCTATCAGGCTGTCGCAGCCCATGCATGTTGGTTCGAGTCCAATGGCAGACTCTGACCCAGCCTCCCCGGCCTTCATGTGGGTAATGTGATAGAAAGTGATCAAGCCACCTCATGCATGAATCAGCTTGCAGAACATATCTGCTGCCCCCTGCTCCTTGGACAGAAAACCGAGGGCCGACCCCCCAAATGGAAGGTGGAGAGACAACAAGTCTGGCCCTCCGGAGCGGAAGCAAGCAAATACGTGTTTCAATCTTGAAAGAATCACTTCAATGGCATTTGAATGCATATAGGTAGGTTACAGGCTTCTTTCCTCTACTTTACTCTACTCATATTGACTGCGCCTGGCTAAGCTTCCGTCGTCGGCTTCTGTGCATAAACAACGTGGCTTTTGTTCTCATTGTTAGCCGAGGACGGAATGGGGGAAGAAAAAACAGTATCTAAATACGAGGAGGGGAACTTACAATTCCATCCGAGCATGGAAGGCACCGGTCTTCAACTCTTGTCGACAAGCTGCCAGCATTGTCAAGACTTCCTCCTTTGACCATCCGAGAACTCCAGTCAGTAATCTCAGATTGAAAGCTTCCAGGCCATCCAATACGCAGATGAGGTTACAGAGTCCGACATCCTTCATATGAGGATCCTTGGGCCAAGGACCGAGGGGTAGTTTGTACCTCTGATGAGTGATGTTGGTAAAGCCGGCCTCAGTGACCCAGTCCTTGAATAGAGGCCCTGGGCAGGGCTCACGGCCAATTTGTTTGCATGTCTCGATGAAGGTTCTGTTCATTTTCATGCATTCGTGTTCCTCAGTTATTGAGCCATCATCAGAGCGATACAGGAGATCGAGATCTTGAAATTCTACCCAACCTCCGGGGGCGGTATTGCTACAGCGGGTCATCAGTTGAGGAAGGTTTTAGTACCATGTTTTCAAGCTTACTCGTAGATATTTTTGATCAACTTCGGCCAGTCGGCGATAGCGCCGGCCATAGTTCGGCAGAAGATGTAATCGAACTCGAGTGTATGTAGCCAAGGACTCTCGACATCATCGACCTCAAATTTGACATTTGCTGGAACCCTGTGACTGGTCAGAGATGAACGGATACCTGCACACTCTAGTTATACTTTGGACGTACCAAGTTGGCTGGTTCGCACTCAGGTCATTTCCAATAATCTGTCCAGCCATTCGATTAGCTCACTGTCCAGTCTGTAGACGAAGATACTGCTTTTCGCGGGCTACAAATATGTACCTCTGCGTTAGGAAACAAATCTCCCATTTCGATAGCCCCTGCCTTCAGTTAGTTGATTGGAGCAGGAGCAATGAAATGCAGAGAAGCTACATACAGATACCAGTCCCAGTGCCGATGTCCAAGATACGATGAGTTTTACTCTGTTCAATCGGGGCTAGATACAGCTTGCCAGTGACCTTGAAAACCAAAGTCGCTAGCAGATCAAGACGTTCCATTTCGCTCTATCACCACTTTGGTTAGCATGTGGATTGAGCGTCTGGCGGAATCGAAATAGTACTTCGTCATTCGGAGCGTAGTAAGCTAAGATGTATTAGCCCGAGAGAACGAAATATTTCAGCCACAGTTGCTAACCTCCAGCTCGAAAAGCATGGTAACGACGGCCATGCTCTACGGGATAGTCAATCGCACTAGAAGTCAAGGAAGCCGTATAGGATGATCTAATCGGATCGTAAGTGCTACTCCTAATTGAACGGGGTGAGGAGGAAACCCACATCTGATCATCCATGAGCGAGGCCCCGTCGCTGACCTAGCCTTTGTGTTAGCGAATATTATGAGAATTGAAGCCCAAGCAAGAAGGCTACCGACACTCAGCCCTTCGTCAACCTCAAGTTCATCTTGTAGGTTTTCGCTCGCAGGAGAGTTCGCCCCTCCTGGCGAAGCTGTCTTAGACCTTTGTGAGACCGTGTTCTTGGGTGAAGCGGTCTTCGATCTGGCGGGGGATGCAGCCGTAGGTGCCGGTGGGAGATCACTCGGTGAGCCAGCCATGATGGAGGCTAGTGTGTCTAAAGGTTGCAATCTTCGTCCCGAGAGTCTACACTAAGATCTCAATCCAAAATAGACTTATATGCGTCGGACTGTAGACCCAAACACTGAGAAGAAAGGATCGGTGGGCATGACGAGGGTGAATTTAGCTAGACAATCAGCGACTTTTGTAAGAAATACTTGGTATTGATTTCCCTGCATCCTGCGGGTTTTCGGTCATTGACGCCCCAATGCTGGTGCACAACTTGTGCTTTCTCGTGCAGACTATGCAAACAAACGTACCATTTACTAGGTTCACATGCATCTCGCCGGGGTGGAAACAAATCAGAGCGTTGCCAATGATCCATTGAGCAGTTGGTTGAACCCTTGAAGACAGGCTCTATAATAATGAAACCAATGAAGACTACTGGTTCCGGCTTCCCCGGTCTACTAGTGGATCCTGAGTCTCTCTAATCCAGAGTGTTGCATATTTCATCAATTTGCACCGCTACGATTTCCCAATAGGTTTGCACGCCATCCTCGAGGCGGCGAGCGAGGGATGATTTCAACCGAGGCAGGCAAATCAAGCAACAGCCCCGCTTAGAGTTAGTGTGTCAGACTGTGTAGTATCTTGAAAAATGCTCCTCCGCATGTTGATATCTATTGCTTAGGTACACCAGCCGAAGTGTCTAGAGCTCTTGCTAGAGCTTCTGGCCGTAGACTACATGGCTTCTCTTTTGGTTAGTCCTACTGTACGCATCGTACTCTTATAGGGTGATACTCACAATTCGCCAAAGGCGTGAAAGACTTGCGATCTCAGCTCTTGGCGGACTTCGGATAACAGGGTCGACACCTCTTCCTCAGTCTTGCCAAGAACCCCACAAAACAGCCTCAATGTGAACGCCTCGAGCCCATCTAGAAGCTGGATCAAGTTGCCCAGGCCGATTTCTTGGTGGTACTTGTCTTTAGCCCACGGTCCTAGAGGCACACTGATTGTCTTATGCCCGATGTTGATGAATCCTGCATTCTCCACCCAGTTCTCCAGCTTAGATCCAGGGCATGGCTCAATGCCACAGAGCCTGGCCGCTTCCAGAAAAGCTTGGTCCCACTGGTGTGTTTTGTGATCGGGCCTTAGGCTTCCGTCAAGTGACGAAAATTCAAAGTCATAGTCCTGAAACTCAACCCATCCACCTGGCCGAAGATTTCTGTGCGGAAAGAAGATCATCAGCCATCCAGTATTGTGCCGCTTACATCTAGTATCACATACTCATATGCTCTACTCACAAGTGTAGGCCAGTCGGAGAGAGATCCAGCCATGTAGCGGCTGAAGATGAAGTCGAACTGTTCTTCATAGACCCAATCACTTTCAACATCATCGATCTCAAACCTGACGTTGGATGGGACTCTTTTGATGATTAGCTATAGATCAGAGATCAGAGAGGCAGTGGGAAGTTCCATATCCTACAGTCTTGGCTGGACGGGACTCAAGTCGTTACCGATGATCTGCTGACTCTCAGCTTCCGGCCGTATCATCAGATCCTAGTAGTACATACCAACGCGTTGGGAAAAGTGTCGCCCATCTCGATCGCCCCTGACAGTCATAAGCTCAGAACTCTGGCACCCGTCTAATGTAGACTCACAGATACCCGTACCAGTACCGATATCAAGTACTCTTTGCATCTTCCTCACGTCAATTGGGGCTAGAAAGAGGTTGTACTTGAGGAACTTCAGAACCAGCTCGTGATTGTAATCCAAACGACCTAGTTCATCCTTGCAGCAACATGACCGCCTCGTCAGAGAAAGTAGCTCTCTTGCCGTTACTTCTATTGCTTACCTCGTCATTGGGGGCAAAGTAGGCCGTGTCAAGGTCAGCATGGTCCCGCAGCAGAAAACTCGATACACTCACCTCCAGCTCTGAACGCGTGGTATCGTCGCCCATGTTCTGTAGGGTAATCTACGACACTAGAGGTTACGGACTTGGTGTACGAAGACCTGCATCATTAGCTCTAATCGCGTGTGGCAACTCAAGTTCTTCATAAATCCGGTCATCAAGGGTCGAATCATTGTCCTTGTATATATGAGCTTAGTGTACTGCGTCTATAATAGGGCGGGCTATGGACAACTCACACTGTCACCAACTTCGAGTTCAACACCTTCATCACTAGTATCCGAGGCAATGCTCATAGGCGAGGCAGCGTCGGATCTATCCGAGGAACCTCCTCCGAGGGCGCTCATCTGGACTGCCGTCCCGATGTATTTAGCAGGTGTTCCGAGCGACTGAACCAAGGCCAAACAGATGAGTCTACACAGTAGCAAAACCTCCGAGATAGTGGAGAGAAGCACTCGCGAAGTGGCCGCGACCCAGCTGCCATGGTTTTGTATCCGACGATAGAGTCTGTCTTCTACATATCGCAACTCAGGCAACCGCTACTGAGTCTGTTGGTGATGGAATCATACAGCATGCAGACGGCCCAAGCAAGAATACCTAAAGTCCTACACCGGTCGTGATCCTGCAGACTCCCGAAGTCGCGAGCTAATCGGCGGCCTGCGATTTGACGCTTCGCTTCCATCGGCTGGGCGCTGTTGTCCTTGGCTCTGGTGAGACCAATCATGTCTCTGTGCGTTGATCGCCCCTGTCTCTGATCTGTGCCGTGTTGGGCGCATTACGTGGCCCAACTTGCTTCGTGGACTGTTGGAAGAGGGAAAAGAAACGACATGCATACTTCGGGCCCGACAGGAGGGGAAACGAGCAGGTAGGAAAGGTCTCGATATCTTCCATTCGTGCGGACCATAGAAGTCCGCAACAGTCATACCACTAGTAGGCATAAGCACTGCGATCAATTAAGGGGGAAACCGGTCACATACCTGTTTTTTCCCCTTATATCTCATAGTCGAGAGGGCCAACATCTAGTGAAATTCCCAAGTGCCAAGGTACCTTCGGCGAGAACTCCGTCTCCGAAAGCGTCGAGACAAGGAAGGGCCTCAAACCCCGCTCCTTCTCAGCCGACTCAAGAACTGATGAGACTGCAGCTCGAGCAAGTGTATGCCGAAAAGTGCTGCATATATCGGAGCGAGGTCGTGTGGTCCGCAAGGCCTAGTGTCTCCACTGGCCCTACGCTCATCCAAGAATCCATTCATTACTGTCTCGATAGCCTCTTCCACAGTCAGCCCGCTTATTCTGACCCTGGAATTCCGTTCCTCATTTTCGTCACCTTCGTGGTTGTCTTGGGTGGCTGCGGATGTGCTGATCTGAAGTTCCACGTCTACGGTAGCTTCCCTGACTCGTTTGACTTGTTCTTGATCGAAGTAAGGGCCGCTGATGTAGTTGACCTCGGTCGTTGAGTCGATTCGTCGTTGCGCCTCGGGGTCTTTTGCTTCTCTGATGAAATCATGAATGAGAACTCGAATCTTGTATCCGAGAATTGGGTCGGCATTGATAGATGAGGTCGTCAGCCTGGGAGACGTCGCGGATGGCGCTTGCGCCGTGACCGGCTTGTCTTTGTTTGTTCTAGGCATTTTTGCGCTTGATCTTATTAAATTTCGTCATGTAGCGTAGCGTCAACTTCCGGTATCTACTGTCTACTTTAAATATGACCAGGAGGCGACAACAAGGTACCTGGTTGTGGCAACGGAGATGTTACGGGACTCTAAGATTTTAAAGCATCTCGAATGCACCTTTACGTCTTGTCTAAGTGTATTGATACTTTAAAGAGCTTAGATACCACTTATTATACGTCATCGTCTATATGTATCTACGGTATTACGTGAACTTATCTAGGTATTGCGACGTTCTAGTCCTTTCCTTAAATCTCTTCTTGCAGAGGCGATCTTGGTTACGGAACTACTGCGTTGAGTAGTGGAATGTGATTCATCTCTACAAGTTATGGGATACACAAGTAGAAGGAATACGTTTTCAACAGGATGGGCGACAATAAATGATCTCTAAGGTGTCCAAGGATAGCATCGAAGGTGAAATGCTTTGGATCTGAGAGTCTGGACTGCGTCATGAGCCAAGCACAGTGGATCTGCCATAAGTAGCAAAGACTAGCCAATGGTTTATAAATTAAGTCTACCTATCCGATGTGCCTCATTATGGCGTCTGAATCTGATCTTGACCAACCAAAAGACTACTTTTGATCAATCACGGGGGCTCTACTGATCACGGCTCTACACCGAGGGAGGTCTCATGTCGAAAGCCTGTGCAGCCCAAGCCCAAGCAACCTTACCCTCCTCATATCCGTACAAAGCATGCTCATAGACAGTAACCTTCTCATCCGGGCCATTCTTCTGCAGATTCTTATTCTGAGGCACGCCTGAGATGGACAGCCTGACGGCGATCTGCTGCTTCTTCTCATCAACCACAAACTCGTCAACCTCATACTTGAGTCCGGCGATGACAGGCAGCAGAATCTTGCCCAGGAACCCCACGGCCCCGACCGCCGGCACTAGGTTCCCGTGCATCGAGATCGTCTCCGCCCACAGCGCCGGCAGCACGGTGGGCATGGTGCCGTCGTTGTAGCTGTAGATGTACTTGCGGTACAGCGCCTCGATCTCGGCGGCCGAGATTGGGTTCTGGGAGGCCTTGGCGGCGTACTCGGGCACGAACGGCGGGGCGGGCACGGGGCCTACTCCTCGGCTCTGTTGGTTTGCGACCTGGTAGAGACGGACAATCTTGCCGTTCTCGAAGAAGACGAGGATGAGGTCCCAGACCTTAGATGGGGTTCCCTCGGGGGCATCGCCTGTTGTTGTGACGAGGCGGGCGCCGAGGGATTGGGCGGCCTCGTTGACGGTTAACTGGTCTGCGCTGAAGATACTGCCCTTGTCGGCCGTTGTGGTGAGGCGGTTGATGAACTGGTCTCTGCTTTCTGTGTTTTCGTTGTAGGTTGCTCTCACTACCGGCTGGAGATGGTTGTGAACTTCATCCCACTTCTTGTTGTTGACTGCGTTCAGGAAGGCCTGGAAGATGGAAACAATGTCTTGAGTTGCCATTTTGTAGCCGATTGGAGGGTTGTCTGTCTTGAACCTTCGATTTTCTTCTTTTCTCGAGAGATGGGTGAGAAGGTCTGGTATGATCTGGATATCCGATTCACAGTTGAGATAATGCTCGCCATTGTTATATATCCGTAGACGCACCAGCTTCTCATACCTCTAGCTCGTCATCGTCGCCAAGGGTAGCCAAGAGACTTCGGTCTCGCAAAGCTGACACTGAACGGGCGTTGTAGACGTGTAAGTCGGACCGTCAGCAAGGACCGACGGGCCGCTTTTGTTTGGCCGCCATCTTAATTGGGCCAAGAATTGCTCATACGCCGGGCACAGAGCCTCATTGTAGTGTTCCCGTATTAGGACAATAGGAGTAGTCTGTATCGGCGGGGATGGGGGCGGGTCTCGGTAGATGCCGTCCATTTCAGTAATCCTTTACCGAATTTATGGGGAGGTGCTCTTCTTAAAGGCAACCCGTTGCCAGTCGTTCACGATTCAAATCTATTATACTTTCCCGAGCTTCCAAAGTTTGCCTCAGCACGCTCACTGGTAATTTCCTTTGCGTAACGTAGTCTGACCTCTACACATAATGCAAGGCACTAGGTTTGCCTCTGCTTGTAGTGGACCTCAACTCGCATCCGAACTACAGCTTGACTTGAGCTAACCACGTCATTTGACAATCTTTGACACGCAACTCTTTCTCATACCACCAGTTCTGCCAAACAGCCCCTGAGAATTATAAGTTCAAAGATGTTGGCCGACCGCCTCTATGACTTTGCCGGTGTGTGAGAGCTCGGCCCATCGCTGGTGGATACCGGCTTCGCGCTGGCCCCGTCTCCACGTCCGCCTCCGGTCAGCACCCCCGACGTATTTGCGATTTCTCGGCCCTTGCCATTTCAAGTCTGTCGGTTGCTTTAAGTCCCTCTATCACCCTCGTCGAAATCAAAAACGAAGCTTGCTTGACTTCTGAGTTCTTGAGAGTTACTTCCGATGGCTGCCTGGATTGTGCATGATGAATCTCGAAGGATCACCCTACGATGATGCTCATCAATTCTCTACCTGGCCAATTAGCATGAAATGCTGACTGGCAACACCAAATGAAGTCCTAGATCACATTTGATGAACCGTAGCAGGAAAAAGGCAAGCCATATTGTTCCATAAACAGCTACAAGGGTTGGTGCCTCATGGAACTCTCGCCATGCCCTCCGTAAGTGTCTGGTCAGGAACTTCGTGGTTGACGTTGCCCGGGTTACCAACAGTTTGGACCGACTTTGGAGAGAAGTTCGCTAAAAGTTGGTTTTGAGGTTGTGATTAGTCTGTGACACGGCCAATGAGAAACACAAACCCATTTCTCATTCTGGCACGTCTCTCTCGCCGTCGGCATTTCATTAATGCTGTTGCCTGATTTAGGCACTGCTTCCCTTGCTGCCATCGCTCAGCTTCATTTCCTTGCACAGTATGTTGTGTTCAGTGTTGGAAGCGAAGATCGAGGTTTTCTCGGTGCCTGTTCATGTTGCTGGTTGATACAAGATACGATCGCCTAGACAAACAACAGTGCATTCGCGTATCAGCATAAAACCCCACGTTGCCTCTGCGGTTAGGAAAACCAAACTTCGTCTGCATTCTCATCAGCAACCGACACATCTCCATCAACTGAACACAATTCGTCGAAAGTTAACATACATACCGATACTTGCACCTCCAAACAATAACCATGGCCGCCGCCGCCGCCGAATCTGCCCCCTATACGGGTCCCTCTCCTCGCGAGATGATCGAAAGCCAAACTCTGGCACAGGAGATCATCAACCGCAACAATGACGCCTGCCCCATCCTCGACTCTGATGAGCTGTCTCTCCTCTCCGATTTTGTCAAAGATCCATCGCGGGCACGCTTTCTTCTCGAGACTCGCGGACTGGCCGACGAACCCACCAAGTCTGGTAGTCTTGTGGCCTACGTCATCTCACTACATGGCACCGACAAGGCCGCTCTCACTGACGAGGAAATCAAGACCCTCAATAGATGGTTTGAGAATGACCAGAAGCTTTGATGCAATAAAGAAACATCCTGAGCGGGAATGGCGTGTTCGCATTCTCATGTAGCGAAAGGGCTTCATTGCGACGTGGCAGCGATCGTTTTGTGGGCGGGAGAAGCTGGCTTGACTATACACTGATCGACCAAGCCTGTCATATAATCAACAAATACTCTCACAAATGGCGATAGCACCTGGTCTCAAGGTTCAAGCCTGAACGTATTTCTTAAACCAGTGACAGTGGCAGCTTTTCTAATGGGATTATGGACTATGTGGTGCCAACCTGTAATCCTTTTCTCCATATCAAAACTCATGACTTATTCTTCAGCGTAGACAATATGTCGTACAAGTGGCACCTAGAATTAGCGATGGAATTTGGTTCGATTTGAATAGTTTGCGACCCTCTAACTAGGTTTACCCACGGATGAGAACCTGTTCCTACGTTCTTGCTCCTTCCAACTAGTTCTGGCAAGATGGTAACGCAGCAAGAGCTGCTGTTTCCACTTTCACCAACACACATGATGTAGCACCGCAGTGCGGAAGAGCTTTTCATGATGAAAGTAGTTCTTTCTTGCCGTGCCATGGGCGCATCTCCTCCTTCCCTCTCTCCTTCATCGCTGGAAGCAAAAAGTACCAAGTACCTAGGTATGAAAAGAGGGGAGAAAATCGAGGAAGAGACATTCCAATAGAGCAAGTACGGACACTCCATGGCTGTTATAACCTACCGATGCTTTCGAGATTTTCCTCTCCAACACCCGACTTCCATCTACATGACCAACACCCGTATCGATGGTCAAACTATCAAGCCGACGTGGTCAATTTGCGACGTATGTATTCTTTGACCTCTGATGTTACATTATGTGATTCATGTTCCCTCTTACCGCCAGTATCTAACATCGGCCCTTAGGTGCCAAGCTAGTCGGAGGTTGGCGAGGCGTTTGGAAGAAAACTGAAGCAAAGGTAGAATGTAATGCCTACTCGATCAAAGCCGGGCGTTAATCATTATTTCAAGGAACTCTTCGAATTATTCAATCGTGGCCATATCCGCCATCTCGTCGCAGCCCTTCCGCGCATCGACAATAGTCAATTGATATAGATAGCTTGGTGTTGCTGTCGGATCGTTGATCACTTGGCAGCAGTGCCCGGCTTGGGAATCTGCAGCTTGACGAAGACGCTGCTGAAACCCACTCAGCGTCGATGATCATGGCGAACAGACATCTCAGTGCCGGATACGCCCACGTCTTTGACAAGCGCCGAAGACGCCTCAATCCTACATGTGGGCGAACCCAGGATGGTCCTAGACCTGTCGATCCTCGCAAAGGAACGACGTCCGATTTGTTGGAATGCGACATAGGATTCATCTAGACCCCATAAGCATAATCGAATCGATATCAAGCGGCTTGCCTCGAATAGCAGCCGCGCGAGCGCACTCGGCCGCCCCTGAGTGGTGTTCAACGTCTGACTGTACCAGGCTCGAGCTTCAGAGTTCGCAGAGGCCTTTACGCTCTTCCCATCGCGCGTAGGCTACAAGATCAACTTCGCCTACGATGTAGATGCTACGAGCAGCTCCCGAGACGAATCTCTCGACACAAATTTCGCCGTGCAGAACGGCTGGTCCAAGTACCCTTCAAACCGTCATTCCGCTCCAGGGCATGGCTACCAAAGCGACATATCTCAGATGGACCCCAAACTCGGCATCACGGATCCCCTCCAACGGTATCCAATGCCTTTCCCCACACTCGTCCTTGACCAAACCAAACCACGCCAGATCGTGTCTCGTTGCCGCGACCCAATAAGACGTCGCAAGGCATCTAGGCGAAATTGAGTCTCGGTCGCATCCGCAGGTCGCCCCCCTTCTTGGTTGATGGCGGAAATGGCAGATATGCCAGACAAGAGCATGCTCTCCCCCGGAACCCCTCCGGAGCCCATTCCGTCCATGACACCGGTTTCGTACGCCAACCAATGTGGGAGCGAGACGGCTGTCCAAACGAATACCTACAGACTCTTCGCGAGTCCCCCACAGAATGTTTCGTTTCAAAGTGAGATGGGAGTTGGAGCACCGCGGATCTGCTCAGCCACCAACACCACACCACCGTGGCCACCACGTTTGACTGCTCATCGAGAGGGAAAGTTTTGTCGGGAGAGCATGTATCTTTGCACGGACAGCAAGCAAGATGGCCTGCCCGCCATAACACCCCACCATCCTCTTTGGGCGACTCAGCCGCAACTCAGGCTCGCATCCCTGCGAGCTGTAAGTAGCAAGCCACACCCTCCCTGCCTGTCTATGGCTGTCGTTGATCTTCTGGGTTGATCCTATCAAGTCAGTTCAGCATCACCTTGACTTTCCTTCCCGTCCCCCCTCTCTTCCCTCCGTCTCCGAATGCCGACCAAGGGTTGTGACATGGAACGTTGCTACTGCGAAGAAACTAGACTTGGCCCGCCAAACTCAGCTTTCGAGGATTCCACTTCCGGGCCAGTGTAAGTTCTCGTTGTCGGCATAGACATTCCGCACAAGAGGAAAAGCAAAACGGCGAAACAGCGAAGGGCAAGAGCAGTTTTGCTTCGTATCAAGCGCGGAGCAAAATGTCCCCTCTTTATGCGTCGGAGCTGTCAACCCCATGCAACTCTTCATGCGTCGCGAGCTTAGAGTCGCCAAGCTGCAACATTCTCTTGTCGACACTTGACAAGCAAAGTCAAATGCCCAACTCCCACGATCTCTCAAGTAGGAGACTTTCAGCCTGAAATCTGCCACTCCCTAAACAACCTACCGACTGCGACACTTTGTATTCAACATGCAACCTCTTTCAATTTTCTCACTCAGCGCAGTATTCCAACGGGGACGCGTAACTCTTCCTTCCGTGAAGCCTCAAACAACTCAGCAGCGGCGGATGGCACCATCCCCAGCACCCGTCAGCACCACCTGCATCCCAAAACATGATAGATGCCAACACGAATCTTATATCTCAAATAACCAGAGAGAATACCGTTTCCAAACGCCCACCTTATTTTAGCTGAGTAGCCGAGCTCGAGACACCGCGAAATAGGCCTCTCCCCCCTTTGCCCCTTTTCCTTCTATCGCGTGCTCGCTTTTAACGCCGTCTCAATAGCGAAACTCTTGCGTGTCGTAACCAGAGAGCCGAATGCCATGGTTGAAACCGTGCCAAAGTTCCCTTGCTTCTATTTCCCCGTTCCCCGGGACCGGTTGAACCCATCTGGCCGCCCGTTACACCTGTCTCGCCTGTCGACATCCGACAGAACAATAATTCCCCCGACGTTCAGACGTTCCCCGTCCGTGCGAGCGTCTGCCTGCCAGCAAAGGGCCGACTTGGGAGCTGGACCGTGTTCCGAGAAGCATGGTGGTGGTGTGGTCCACGTAGGGGGTGGACATGTGTAAGCTGGGCGTGCGACAACTGACCGACAGCGGGCAGACCAGGATGGTTGATCACTTTGTGTGCCCACCGGCAAACGCTTAGACGCAGTGATCAGTGATACCCGCTGATCGTCCCTAGAAACCCCCGCCTTCTAGAACTTCCCGCTCAATGCCGCCCAGTCTTTGGACAAGCTCACTTTTTTGTAAGATTCTTGCTCTCGCCCTTGTCTAAAAAGAGTTGGCTGATCTAGACAGGTATGGGAAGTCCAGAAGTCGATTTCTATCGCGCGCCAAATCATGAATATTACATTGTCTCGATAGGGTTGGTTCTCATCTTTGCCTTGCCGCAGCTTCTGCCCCGAGACCAAAGAGGATGGACAGCATTCTGAGCAGGTAATCTGTACCAAACGTCTCTAGGGGTAGCTTTTCTGTTGTTGCCTCTAGAACAATACTAAAATCCAATATAGTCAACTGCCAGCTCCGAAGACGCTTTCAGCTGAGGACCGGTCGCTCTCGCGAACAACGATCTTGGAGACCATTAGAAACAGCTTGCCCCTTAAAGTGACGAACTCTCAAAGGTGTAAGTGTCTTTGCCGAGTTATGCGTTGGATGCACAGCGCTGACTTTAAGAAGAAGGAAAAGGAAAAACCTCAAGGACCATCGCTAACCCGTCCGAACCTGGTCCTGGACCCTTCAAAAACCTTTTATATCTTTTTTGATGTTGGCCTTGGTTTTCGAGGCTGCCCAAACTGGCACTTTATCTGCCCGACTTTATGCGCCTTGGGTTCCTATCCAGCCCTTCCCCTCGACTCCCTGCCGCAGCCGAGCTGTGCTTGTCAGATTTCACGGGTCTACTATGTAGATAGTACTGCTTCCCCAAGACCGGGATGGACGGTCCTGTCGAAACTTGATACCCAAAATAGAGAAACATGCAGAAACGTAGAAATGTAGAAACGCGGGGGCTTGTTTTTCAAAGGGGATAAGCACACCCACACTCGACACCACCCTTTTCCCCTCCCCTCCCCTCCCCTCCACTATCCTCTCCCCTTACTGAGGTGAAGCTGAAAAACGAAAGAAAACCTCAAGATGGAGGGGCAGATCTTTTTCCTGTTTCTTTCCCAAAAGTGCGTGAACATGCGAGCGTCCCAACTTTGTTCCCCCCCCATCACGCCCATCAACCCAGCATCTCAAGGTCCCCCTCAACCCTCAACTTCAGGGTTTCGCCGGCTCAATTACTTATTCCTTACGCTTACTCACTGTAAAAATGCTCTCTTCCAACATCTCAACCTCAGCTGGCACAACCCACATGCCTGCTCGTTGACCTCCACACTTGGGGTAAAAGAGTGAAGGGAGAAGGGGTTTTTTTTTTTTTTTTTTTTTTTTTTTTTTGAAATCTTTTGAAAAAAAAGTCACTTATGCACGAGGGGAAAGAGACACGCAAGACACATGTTGGTGAACAGAATTTTGTTCGAATTAACTAATAGCGTAAAATGCAAAATCACACTTGAGCTGCGTGTAAGCCAGACCCGGGCCAAAAAACCTCCAGGGTTTGCCAAAGGTCGCTCATGATATTCCCCCCTTGCTAAAAAAGAAAAAAGGGTTTCCTGCACCCTCTGCCGCTTGAGAAACGGCCAAGTCAAGGTTATCTGACCTGCACAGCAGATCCAGAAACCCGGCTTGTGTTCCCACGCGACTCTTGATCCCTCGCCCAAGCAATTTAATGCTTCTCCGAATCTTCTTCGGTGACGGCGGGGTCTCTCATGCAGGAGGGCGAGCTACACGTCGCCTCTTCCTCCCTGCCCCTTGCTCACGTTCCCCCCCTCCTCGAAGCTGCCACGGGCGCGACCCCCCTTCCCCAGGTTCCACACAATGACCCCCAGCCCGGTAACAACGTTCCGTTCACATCCAGTCCCGACTCGCAGGTTTCCGTAGTGTCGTACTTGTGTCCAGGTGGGGTAATCAGCATGGCCTGATTTGGGTTCGTTCGCGCCCATGTAAGTCGAGCGGGGATTATCGTGAGTGTGATAGCAGAGGTTCCAAGACTGTGGCCAGAGGTCTCTGCATCGTATCTTGCCCAGCAAGATGGTTCTTTCTGCGATGCCCAGCTTCTTTTATTCTGTTGATTCAAGTCCCATCTCTCCTCCATTTCCATGCCAGCCGTCTCCCTTGGGCGCCGCGATGAGCCTCGAGGGGACGGCTGAAGCCAAAGATCTTGTCGACATGCCAGTGTCTGCCTTGACAGTTGCATCCCTGATACAACCATGTCTCAGCTACGCGATGATTGTTGTTTGGGTTTATCGACCTTTCGCAAAGAAGCGTTGCTATTATTGGATCCGGTCCGGTTTGCAAGCCCTTTGCTGTAACTGCAATTCGATAGCCTGTGCGAAGCGAAGAAAACCAAGAAAATCGTATGTCGTGGCATCAAGCCTGGAGCAACGTCGTCTTGATTCGTATCGTTGAGCGCGCAGTCGTGAATATTCGTCGTTGGTCGTGAAATGGTTGTCATGAATCATCCGTAAGACAAGAACCCAAGCCCAAGGAAAGGAAAAGAAAGCAAAATGCGCAGCTGTTGGTATCTTCCGATCCAGTGTAATGCCGATGGGGGTATCTCTAAGAAAGCCTCTTAAACCAAGCAAGAAAATAGGACCAGAAAAAAATAGAAATCCAAAACGGGGGAATCGAGAATGAAAGGCTGTCGGTTTCTTCTGTCTCGGGCTCCAGGCCTGGAGCCGAGCGGGGGGGGGTTTTGCATTGCTGCGTGTTCCTCTTGTGTAGATGAGAGAAGACCCAAAGGAAATAGTAGAGAAAGGGGAAAAGAGAACAGGCCGCCTATATGTTCGAAAAACCCCCCAACCCAAATGTAAATGCACTCAAATGCCCGCCCCGGACCCAGCCATGATGAGATGATTTGAATGAAAGGTGACCGAGCTTGCGGCAGAGTGAGTGGTGGTGGTTGTTGTTCCCCGGATATCGAAAAGACTGTGAAAAAATCATACGCTCGCTTGCTGCCGACAAAAGAAAAAACCCCCAATTATATCTTTTTTGTTTGGTTGTCTCGCGAGTCCCGTAACACCGTTCGCTCCCCTGCTGATGCAAAACGCCGATATGCCTGTGGATGATTCTATGCCGAGCAGACCGAGAAGAATTCAACTTTTCTCCGGGAAACATGGGACCATCGTGCCTGGCAATGCTTATGAGGTCGTCACGACAGGGTAAGTCTCAGATGCAACGGATTCTGGTTGTCACATCGTCGTCGTGTACTCCTGGTAGCGATCCCAGCCAAAGCCACCGTAGCCGACGCTCACACCACATTGAGGCGTGAACATGCTGGGGAGAGGCAATGCTGGGATGGGCGCCGTGATTGCTGGTGCACTGTAGTAGAACCCGGCGGTGGAGAAAGGTTGGCTGTATGCAGGCGTAGGGGAGGGGATCTGAACCTCGCTCATGCCAATGTTGGCCCAGATTGGCGTTGACTCCTGAGATGTGGAAGCAATGCTCGGACTTGATGGTAGGACTCTCCACGCATCGACGGCGACTAGGCTGGCCGGCGTAGGGGGTTGCGACCAGATGCTGGCGTTGGCGGGTGAGCTGGGGAGCAGAGGTGGTTGTCTGATGACATCGACAACACGGGGAGGAGGAGGCAGCAAGGGCTTCATGAGGCCCATGATGTTGTTCTTGACCTCCTCGCTCTTACCAGAGAGCAGCTCACCAGCGCCTTCTTCCTCGAGCCCTTCCAAGGCAGTGACATGTGTGCGGTAGACAAACTTGTTGATGGCTTGGACGAAATCCTCATGCAGCTTCTTGCACTGTTGGTCCTTCTCAGACCAGTCATAGGTGTTGGCCTTGCTGTCGACGCAGTGAATTTCCTTGTGGTACTCGACCAAGGCGTCTATTGAGTCGGTGGTGAGCTTGAAAGCGACCTCGTTGCGCAGGACCATGTCGACGTGGACAATGTAGGCCTCGATGTGGAGAAGCTGGTAGTTGAACAGGGCCTCGACGAGAGGGTTCTCATCCTGGCGCAAGTCGGATT